AGGGAGAGTCTTCTATTTCAAAATAAGACAAAATCAGTAGGAAAAGGAAGATGACACTTTGATAGACATGATAAATAAAGGCAATCAAATTATGATAAAAAAAATTACAAGAGTGGAATTCAATGTCATTATTGTAAAAAGTTTGATCACATGAAGGCAGCTTACTGGAAAAGAAAAAAGTAAGCAAGCTATGTGGAGGAAAATGAAGGAAATAGTAAGTTGTTTATGACTTATTCACAAGTTAATGATATCTCAAATGATATTTGGTTTCTGGATAGTGGATGTTCTAATCATATGTTAGGCATAAGATCAATGTTTAGATATATTAATGAAACTCATAAGTTGAAAGTTAGACTTGGAGATAAAAAGCAAATCCAAGTGGAAGGAAAATGAACAATTGAGGTGAAGACAAATCAAGAGAAGGTAAAATACCTTGATAATGTTTTCTTTGTTCCTACTTTATCGCATAACTTGTTGAATGTTGGACAGTTGATAGATGATGGATATTCAGTTATATTTGATGATGGTTTATACACTATTAATGATAAAAAAAAATTGGTTTAATTACGATAAATGTTTGCATGACGTAAAATAAGATGTTTCCACTTGATGTTTCAAATATTGAAAAGTATGCTTTTATTACAACTTAAAAGAATGAGTCTAATTTATGACATTTAAGATATTGACACCTTAATATTAAGGGTTTAAGGTTGTTAAATAAAAAAGGAATGGTTTTCAGATTGTCTAAAATTAATACACTTGATGTATATGAAGGATGCATTTATGACAAACAAAGTAAAAAATCATTTCCTGTTGGAAAAGCATGGAGAGCATCTAATTGTTTTGAATTGATAATGCTGACTTATGTGAACCTATGAATACAAAATCATTTGGTGGAAGTCAATATTTTTTATTGTTTATTGATGATTATAGTCGTATGAGTTGGGTATATTTTCTGAAACTGAAATCTGAAATATTTGATAATTTTTAAAAATTCAAGGCACTTGTAGAAAGGCAAAGTAGTAGATATATAAAGACACTTCGGATAGATAGAGATGGTAAATTTTTATCTAATAAGTTTAGTTTTTTTTGTGAAGAAAATGGTATTCATAGAGAATTGACAGCACCATATACACCGTAGCAAAATGGTATAGCTGAACGTAAAAATCGTACTATCGTTGAAATAGTAAGAAATTTGCTTAAAGGAAATCCAAATCAGTTTTGGGCAGAAGCAGTTGCAACAGTAGTTTATTTGTTGAATATTTCACCAACAAATGCTGTTATGAATCAAACTCCTTTTGAGGCTTGGTATAGTATGAAACCAAGTATAAGCCATCTAAGAATTTTTAGTTGTATTGCGTATGCTTTGGTGAATTCACAAAATCATCACAAGCTTGATGAAAAATATGAAAAATGCATCTTAATTGGTTATTCCTTACAATCCAAAGCATATCGATTATATAATCTTGTTAGTGGCAAAGTTATTATTAACAGAAATATTGTGTTTGATGAAAGGGCAAGTTGGAATTGGGAGATCAATAAAGGTGGAACACAAATTCAGATTCCAGCAGAACTAGACACTCCACAGAATCAAATGACAGATCCTGCTCTAACAAGTTCATCATCAATCTCACCTAGTAACATTTCAAATTTTGATTCCTCAGATAAAACCCCTCTAAGAAATTTCAGATCACTAACAGAAATTTATGACTTAACATTTGCTTTGTTTATTTCAGATCCTATAACTTTTGATGAAGCAGTTGAAAAAGAGGAATGACGAAAAGCAATGAAGGAGGAAATTAAGTCAATCGTGAAGAATGAAACTTTGGAGCTAATGGATCTTTCGAAAGAAAAGAAAGCTATTGGATTAAAATGGGTGTTCAAAATAAAGTTTAATGCAGATGGAAGTATCCAAAAGCATAAGGCTCGGCTTGTAGCAAAAGGATATTCACAGCAATAAGGTATTGATTTTGATGATACTTTTTCTCTAATTGCTAGATTCGAAACCGTAAGAACTTTCTTGGCTTTAGCTGCTCACTTGAGTTGGTTTGTTTATTAATTTTATGTGAAATCTATGTTTTTAAATATAGATTTATACGAAGAGGTTTTTATTACTCAACCCGAAGGTTTTTTTATTTAAGGACATGAAGAAAATGTGTATAAGCTAAGGAAAGCTCCTTATGGGCTTAAACAAGCTCTAAAGGCATGGTATAATAAAATTGATTATTATTTTCTTTAAAATGGATTTAAGAGAAGCAATAATGATCATACTCTTTATGTAAAGAAAGAAGGTGAACAAAATATTCTAATGGTTTGCCTCTATATTGATGATATTATATGAGTTCATATAACTCTTTTGTGGCAGAATTTAAAAAGTGTATAATGATTAAGTTTGAAATGTCAGATCTAGGTTTACTATATTATTTTCTTAGGTTGGAAGTGAAGCAAGGATCAAATGTAACTTTTATTTCACAAAGAAAGTATACAATCAATCTATATAAAAAATCTAATAAGATTAATTGCAAAGCTGCAGCAACACCCATGAATGTAAATGAGAAATTGAAACTTGAATATGATACATGTTTGACAAATGCAAGGTATTACAGAAGTTTGGTTGGAGGTTTGATTTATCTAACTCATACTCGACTAGATATTACCTTCTCTATTAGTGTAGTATCTAGGTTTGTGCATAGCCCAAGCAAACATCATCTCGAGCTGTTAAAAGAATTCTACGTTATATTGTTGGAACTACATATTATGATATTTGGTATTCTCATAATTTTAAATATAAATTATTTAGTTTTACTGATAGTGATTAGGTAGGAGTTTTAGATAATAGAAAGATTACTTTATGTAATATTTTTAGCCTCGGATCATGAGCTATATCTTGGGGTTTAAAAAAGTAAGCAACAACTACGTTATCAACATCAGAAGCAGAATATGTAGTCGCAACATCAGTAGCTTATCAAGCAATATGGCTTAGAAGACTTCTTGAAAATCTTCATCAAGAACAAAAAGAAGCAATAGAAATATTTTGTGACAACAAAGCTACAATTGCAATGACAAAGAATCTAACATTTTATGGAAGAACGAAGAGATACGTTATCATTTCATCCGGGATCTTATAGCAAGTGGAGTCATAACAATAAAGTATTGTGGAACAGATGAACAAGTTGTGGATATCCTCACCAAGTTGCTTCTAGTTCAAAAGCATATTTATTTCATGTTACAAATCGGTGTATGTAACTATGAATCAAGGGGGAGTGTTAAAAATTGATTCATGGTAGTTATCTAGGTAGTTACTATGTTCTAGATAGTTTTAGGCATGTTTCAAGAAGTGACCTATGATCTAGAAGTTATAGGGTAGTTCCTATAACTTACTCAATCATGAATGACATGGTGGAATAAGGTAGTTACCACTAGGTCCTATAAATAAGACCATAGTTTATGAAGTAAGACAAAATCAAAAACACTTGGGAATATCTTGTAAGTGTTTTATATCAATCCTCTTGTTTTAAATACTATGTCGGTTCAGTTTTCTTGATTGAAAAGATTCTTTTTAATTGCATCATAATATTCTATTTTTATCGTTTCCTTGCTCCTCCATCCCCAACAGAGGTGGAGTTAACAAAAGCAAATGTAGTGGTACAGAAGGAAGGCAGTAGAGAAAGCAGGTTTTGCATGGAAGATAGAGGAACTGAAGGGAGAGATCGCAAATCATTTCATCTGGGATCTTATAGCAAGTGGAGTTATAGCAATAAAGTATTGTGGAACAAATGAACAAGTTGTGGATATTCTCACCAAGTTGCTTCTAGTTCAAAAGCATATTTATTTCATGTTACAAATCGGTGTATATAACTATGAATCAAGGGGGAGTGTTAAAAATTGATTCATGGTAGTTATCTAGGTAGTTACTATGTTCTAGGTAGTTTTAGGCATGTTTCAAGAAGTGACCCATGATCTAGAAGTTATAGGGTAGTTCATATAACTTACTCAATCATGAATGACATGGTGGAATAAGGTAGTTATCACTAGGTCCTATAAATAGGACCATAGTTTATGAAGTAAGACAAAATAAAAAATACTTGGGAATATCTTGTAAGTGTTTTATGTCAATCCTCTTGTTTTAAATAATATGTCGGTTCAGTTTTCTTGATCGAAAAGATTCTTTTTAATTGCATCATAATATTCTGTTTTTATCGTTTTCTTGCTCCTTCATCCCCGTGGAGTTAACAAAAGCAAATGCAGTGGTACTGAAGGAAATAGAGAAGGCAGTAGAGAAAGCAGGTTTAGCACGGAAGATAGAGGAACTGAAGGGAGAGATCGCAAATGGTTCAGACGGAGAAAAGGTAAAGAAATTGAGAAGGGAGATAAGGATGAAATTGCTGTTGTCATCCGCTTGATGGACCTGAAAGAAAAGGTCGAAGATACTTTGGGATTGCCCATACAAGAAACAGTTGGTGCTGGTAACAGTTGAAGTTGAGGCAGTTATTCATGCTAGACTTGTGTATAATGCCATCTAGCACATGTTTCAGGTAATTCAAGAGATTTATTCTTTCTTTCTTATTAGTTCATCAAAATAGTGGTGGGCATCTGTTTCTCTTGTTGGTGTCATCAGTGTTCTTTAATGTTTGATGCTTGAGGGATTGATAGAATAATTTTGCAGGAACAATAAAAGGTCTGATTTTGCGCTTTCATTGTCATTTATTTTGTTTTTTTTTTTATTTTCAAATTACATGCCTTTTGACAGCACCGTCAGTTCTAAGCTCGGATGAAAAAGTGGAGAGTTCTAAGCTCGGATGAAATATGTATTTTATTGTTGTTGTCGTATGTGTTTTGATTGAGTTTTAATATCCCGTTAGTATAGAACTGGAATGATTACACTTGTCGGTTAACAGTTCATGTGTGGACTTCCATCTTCTCTAAATGAAGTTTCTCATGCTTTGCGTCTCATTGATACTGCTTCATGTAGACGCGTTGCATATTTGGTTAGAAATGGGTTGTAAAAGTGCTTGGCAACACGCATCTACTTGATTGCAATCAAAGCTAACAGATGTTTCAAGAATACAGGTGGAGGGAACATTAAACTCGGTCACACAAACACGCTGGGTCACAACACACCTGAATGCTTTCTCTGCGAAGCAAACACAAGCAAGAGAACACAGGAACAGGGAACAGATGCTTCTGGTGGGGAGTCTTCTCCATCCTTCTCTCAGACTCGTCAAGCGCCGAAGCAGCCGAAGCCCTTCTTCTTCGGAGGCTTGCCCGTGGCACGATACTTGGCAGCGGCTTCTTCCACCTTGAGGAGCTCTTCCCCACGCTTCGCCTCCACCATCGCTCGCTTCTCTTCTGCTGCTTTGTGGACCATGGCGATCTTGTTCTTTATTTTCTCCTTCGTTTCTGCCTTCTTGTTCTCAAGATTTTGCTGCTCACACATTTTGAATCAATTGTCACAGGCAAATTACGCTTGTCAGTATCGGGAAGACGAAGAGTAACAGCAATACTCGTGCTCAACGCTTGCTCGAGTTGAAGCGATCCCGAGTCGGAGATGCAGGGCGAGTACCGAGTCAAATACTCAAAACACCAAGGAAAGGAGATATACCTCGATCTTTTGCAGCTGTGATTGCAGAGATGCCTTCTTCGAGTTCTCCCATGAAGTGATAGATGACTTCTTCTTTTGAGCTCTGTTTCGACATTCCAATGATGTCGATTAACCAAAGATAGATAAGACGGAGAGACTTTCGAAGAGTCTATAATAACAGCAGGTGACCTTTTTTTAAGCGACCCAGCTTTTGACTATGATGCTATTTACATGTATGTGTTATTTCAGAAACAAGCAAGCCAAGCCATAGAACATGAGAATAGCCATCAGAAAACTTAGATGGACTGCAGAGCATTCATGTAGATTTTGTGTGTGAATTGAATATGTTCCGAACTGTTGTTTAAAGCTAGATGATTGGTTCCATGTTTTATGGTGGACTTGCTGGATGCATGTCTCGGTTGTTGGTGTACACTGCCCATTTAATGTACTTTCCCAAACTTAACCCTATGAGAAGGAAGCAAATCTCCCGAGAGATGTAAGAAATAAGATATCCAACGAACAAGTAGAAGAGGAAGGCATTCTGTGGAGGACCGGTATCTTACTTGTTATCAGCTTTGGTCTTTTCGCTGTCCTCCCATGCCTTGATGAAGGACAGATTCTTTTCAGACTCAACCCGTGCCAGTTCAAGATCTTGAGATGCAACCACAAGAAGCTTCTTCTCATCATTCATTATATGTAGACAAAAGGAACCGCATTTTAACGTGTTATTCGATTCTCACCTCTATCCGAAGGCTTCCTCGAGCTTTTCTGGTGTGAAGGAGACTCTGAACTCCGCCAAGCGACGAAGAACAGTGAAAAGTCATAAGAAGAGGACCACTGCAAGCCCCAATTACACAGACAAGAATACCACAACGACTAAAGCAGAGTTCTTACTCTCCACGAGGGCCACCTCCGTCGAACTCTCCACCTTCTCCACCGCCGCCGGAGTCAACTGTACCTCGTTTTTCATCTCTCTCTCTCTCTCTCTCTCTCTGATTCGTGTCACAAACTGCACCCGAGATTGCAGAGGAAGGTGGTCGTATTATATATGCAGTGGCTGTGGGAGCAAAGGACGCGGCGATTCTTCCGCAGGAGTGTCCACAGAAGCTCGTCTGCAGGATCATATCCTGCCGTCCGTGCTCTGTTGACGCCCATCCGTCCGTTCTTTTGGTGGTGTCAGATGCCGGCGTCGCTCCTTGCAATTGTTCTCTTACGTCAAACTTACCTGCCCCGCTATTGGCGATAAACAAGGTATCATTTGTGGGTCCCGCTCTGCTTCTAATTAAAAGACGGGTATTGCCGTTCCGCCATCAAAAGGGCACGAAGACAGCTGCTCGAGGAATATGTTCAACAGCTGTAAGGTGTAAGGTGTCCTCGCGGGGATTGTCGGCGTAATCCGATTCCTTCGTGGTGGATAACACATCAGTGTGATGCACGTGCCGTACGTCAGCTACCGGCGAAACTAATATCTCACCCGTCCAAAGAATCTATAACGTCGCACACCTCAACGATCGTGATGCAGGATGAGGATCAAGGAACGGTCGAGATGCAAGAGCCGAAGGAATCCAGTTCTCCATGAACTGGAGAGGATGATTCATTTAATGCTGCATTGTTTGCTGTCAGATACTACATTAGGGCTTGTGGAGGTCACTTTCAGGCTTACAAGAATAAGGAGAAGAAGAACAATAGTAATAAGAAAAGAAAAAGGTTCATATTGCCTACTCCTTTGCCAAGAATATGATGCTTGACTAACATCTCAACCACTGCTGTCATTTTTATGCGAAGACCAATCATTTGCTTTCGGAATGATATGATTTCGGATGGTTTCTAATCAATACATAAATCAAATCTCTGTTGCTCCTTTTAAAGGTTGAGTTAAAAGTACTGTTTATGATAACTTTGGCCTACCATAAATGTTCTCCCCCTACCTTTTTTTTTTATTCTCTCAAAGGTAATTGAAGAGAATAAAATTTTATTTACCATTAAAAATAAAGATTTTTATTATTTAAAATTGATGAAATCTTGAAAAAAAATTACGGATGAAATTTCAAACCCTCGACCTTTGGTATATCATCGCTAAACAAACATTTAAGGCATTGGCGTTTATTAGATGAGATTTTATTCTCTCTAACCTGAAATAAATGAGTGGTGATAGATATACCATATCGTCAAATATAAAAAATTATCGGATTACATTTTAAACTCGTTTCTAACTCAATAATTGGTTTGATTTATCACCATGTTAATATATAATTTATTGGATAAGGCATCTCAGTTACTCTTCGATAGAATGGATTTGAGATAATATACTGCTCCTTTTAGTACATTAATTTTCTTTGATGGTACACACAATCATATTTTCATGGAACTAATCATGGATTCAATTTATTACATAAAATTAATTTCTGAACTATATAATAACGGATTTTCCTATAATTTAAATAATGACAATAGCATCTTTTGTTCATTACCTTTTTTTCCTTAACATAGTTTTTTTTTATTTTGTTTGAAATATGCAATAATTCAACTTGATGATTAGCATAATAGTGCTTAGTGATTAGTAAGTACATCACCACTTCAACTTTTTTTGCTTTGTAATATTGATAGAATCATATCTAAAGGTTAGTAGTGGGATCAGATATATCTTATTATCTTTGTTCTTTGTTCCTTCCAAACTGGTCCACATTATTGCTAATAATTGATGGAGGCATCTCCTCACTGATAATTGTGGGCCAATATCATCTTAAAGCCGCGTTGCCATCGAAAGAGTGCACCATATTTTTCTCCTTTTTTTTTTGTTTCCATTTCGCAATAATAATCTATCAAGAAACAAAAGTTTGAGATCTTACAATTATATAAAGATCATTTGAATGGCGGATATGATTTTTAGGAATGTAGAAACCAAGTATGTATAATCGGTTTTTACATTGTTGAGCCAAATTTGTCGTCCTAAGTAAATGGGTTCAAGATTTCCCATCATAATCTATTTATCTGATGTTTTTTTCTTTAGATCCTTTTGGGTTTAGAATTTATGAATTTGCATGGTTGAAAACCTATATTTTAAATGTTATTGACTCTTAATTTTGTCTAAAATTCTATTTGCTAATTATATTGTTTTGATTTCATTAAAAAATTGGTTTTCCTTGCAGTGAAAAATGGATTCTTTCTTGACTTTTTCTGTTTTCCATGCAAAAGAATTCTATTCTTTCTCTCTCGCTTGTTGGAAGATGCCTTTTCTTTTCCCACGTTTTGCTTGCAACACACAATAATCAACATAATATTGGCGTTTGCAAAGATTAGGTTTGGGATTCGTTTATTATTGATCAAAATTCTGAACAGCTCATAAGATGATTCTGGTTTTATGGTTTTGCAAGCCAATTATCCTAAACCTCTTCATGTTTTACATCTATCTCATCAATTTGTATAAAACTAAAGTTAATTACATATTATCCCATATACTTTGTTAGTATCAACATTATAATTTTTGTACTTAAAAAAATTATATTTGAATATCTATAATTCTGAAAAATAAAATAAATAATCTTATTTGTCAGTTGCATCGATTGAAAACATAATATAATACGTCGAATGAACAAAAAGATAGTTTTAATATCTCTTTCGTTTTCAGAAATTTTATCGTAAAAAAAATAATTTCAACATCCCACATACCGAAAATGAAAGAAATATTAAAATTATCTTTTTTATCCATCATTTTTATATTAATCCATATACGGTGTCATGTTGATGAGGGTAATAATTACGATAAGACTTGTGTGACACCCGCTGACGCCCCGCACCCCTGTTAGGCTGACACCGCGTGACTGACACGGGTCGTAACGCCAACCAAGGCCCATTAATGACCGCTCAGGTTCGACTCCGCACGTTATGCCAATAGCGATGTCAGACGTCATTAGAAGGTACGATCCTACCCCCTACGGGCAGGCACATCAAGTAACACCGAACTCCCCTATAAAGACCCTTGCATTCTAAACGAAAAGGGGAGGAGGACACCAACATAGATAACAACCCCCCTACAATTATTCACTGAGTTGATCGTCGGAGGGGTCGGGTCGAGCTCTCCCGTCCCGACCTGTGTGCAGGGACGAAGGCGAGGCGCTTCTCTCCGGGCGCGTTGGCAAGGAACCCCCTCCCGAAGGAATCGGCGACCCGTCATCCGGACCCGAACCAAGCCGTGTCGGCCCCGAGGCCACGGCTAAAAAGTTATTTACACCAACATAATGGCGCTAGAAGGAGGGCCGATGTCAAGGGATCGCCAGGTCGACTCAACCGAAACCGCAGTCGAGGGGGCGCATCCGGTCGGGGTTCCAAGGGAACATCCCCCGCGGACAGGTCTCCGTAGCGAACACCCCGCCACAACTTCAGAGCGCTATTGGCGAATCTTCAACGACCAGGGCTTGTTACCGCCCGATGCCCCCTCCACCGAACCATCGCTCGTCTCGTTCGAAGCCTTTCTCAACCTCACCCATCAGGTCCAAGTTCTAACCGGTATGATACAGTCCATTATTCCACTCGTCTCCGGAACGCTGCACCCCCCAGCCGCCGAACCGGTGCGACAGCAGGAGCCGCTTGCTCAGGCTCAGGCGCAGCCCCTGGAGCTTCCCACTTCGCCTCGGGTCCCGTCGTCCCCGCTCACGAATCGAGTCACGACGGACCGGAGGGGCCACACCCAACCCGAGGCCTTTCCTTCGGCCTCGACGGACTCCCTGCGAGCCCAGTTGCTCCTCGTCAGTCAACGGCTTGACGAGGTACAGAAAGAGGTCCGCAGGTCGAGAGGAGAGCTCGGGGAGGACATACATCAGGGATCCCCATTCGTCCCCGAAATACGGGATCAGACGGTCCCACAGAACTTTCGTCTCCCCTCTCTTGACACGTACGACGGCTCCACCAACCCAGCGGACCACGTAGCCGCCATCCGCACCCAAATGGCACTGTATGGAACTTCTGACACTCTGATGTGCAGGGCATTCCCCACGACACTAAGGGGACCAGCCCGCACGTGGTACGGTGGCTTGAGGACCGGGACCGTCATCTCATTCGACCAGCTCGCTAGATTCTTCGAGCTCAACTTCTTAGCCAGCGCACGACCGAAACCGTCCGTTGCCTTGCTTCTCGGACTACACCAGAGGGAGGACGAGTCCTCTCCCACTTTGTGAACCGTTTTGCCATGCAGATCCGGGGATTATCCGACGCTCACCCCTCTCTGTTGATGCAGGCGTTCATGACAGGACTACGACCTTCCCGATTCTTCGGGTCCCTCGTTGAGAGACCCCCCTCCGCGGTACCGGAGATGCTTCAGCGGGCCAACCAGTTCATCGCGGCTGAGGCTTGGATGGCCAGAAAGCAGGAAAAGCACATGAGGGTTAGATCGGAGCCGGCTCATGGGCAACAGCCTTCCGCGACTAGGCGCAGGCTGGACTAATCCGACCTACCCGCTCCGAGGCCTCCCCTGCCCCCCTTAGGCGCATCTCGAAGGGAGATTTTTCTCCAGATAAAGGAGAGAGGGTTACTCAGGGCTCCCGTTCCGATGAAAAACCTGCGAGAGCTCGCCGACCAGTCCAAGCATTGCCGCTTTCCAAGCAAAACGGGCATGACACCGAAGACTGCCGTGAACTGAAACGGCAGATCGAGGAGCTCGTCCGCGGGGGACACCTCAGTCGGTACATCCGACATAACGAGGAGCCCTCACCTCTCCCCGAGGGCCCCATGGAGCACCACATCGATGTCATCACCGGAGGACCGGCAGTTGGGGGAACCAGTATGTCGGGGAGAAAGGCATACGCCCGTTCCGCCAGGATCGATGCTCCCCAACGTGGTCCCGACCCCAAGGTCGCATTCCCTCCCGAGGACGTCAAGCCACCGGAGCACGACGATGCGCTTGTGATAATGGCTCGAATCGCTAACGCCCAGGTGAGGAGAATCATGATCGACACCGGGAGCTCAGCCAACGTGCTCTATCTGGACGCCTTCCAGAAGTTGGGGCTAACCAAAGAATCCCTAAAGCCTATCTGCTCGGCGCTCACGGGGTTCACCGGCGATTCTGTCTCGCCATTGGGGACTGTTACCTTGCCTCTCACCTTGGGAGCATCGCCCCGAACAAAGATGGTGATGTCCACCTTCTTGGTGGTAGATCTTCCTGCTACCTACAACGCCATCCTCGGCCGCCCCACCCTTAACAAAATCAGAGCTGTAGTCTCCACCTATCATCAAACGGTGAAGTTTCCTACCCCCCCCCCGGGACAAGCGAAGTTTGGGGAAGCCCCCAAGAGTCCAGACGATGCTACTTGACGGTGGTCTCGCTACACAAAAAGGCGAGGACCGACCAGCCTCTTCAAGACCCGAGAGAAGAGAAGCGGCCGACACCACACCCGGAGCCGATGGCGCCCACTTGCGACGTGTCATTGATGGAGGATCGCCCGGATCGGGCGGTCCAGGTCGGGTCGAAACTCCCCGGGCAAGAGCGAGAGCAGCTCGTCGGTTTCTTACAGGAGAACGCCGATGTCTTCGCCTGGTCATCATCCGACATGATCGGCGTCGACCTTGAGACCGCCCAGCATCACCTGAATATATCACCTGACGCCCGGCCGGTAAAACAGAAACCACGACGACAAGCCCCCGATAGGCAGCTCGCCGTCCGTGAAGAGGTGGAGCATCTGTTAGCGGCTGGCTTCATCGAGGAAATCAAGTACCCGCGATGGCTATCTAATGTAGTGCTGGTGAAAAAATCTAATGGCAATTGGAGGATGTGCATTGACTATACGAGTCTCAATCGGGCATGCCCGAAAGACTGCTATCCCCTCCCAAGAATCGATCAGCTGGTCGACGCGACAGCCGGGCACGCCCGCCTGTCATTCATGGACGCCTTCTCCGGCTACAACCAGATCAGAATGGCGCCTGAAGACCAAGAACACACGGCTTTCATCACCGATTTGGGGGTGTATTTCTACAAAGTCATGTCATTTGGGCTCAAGAACGCAGGCGCCACCTACCAGAGGGCCGTGAACAAAATGTTCGCCGCTCAAATCGGGCGGAACGTCGAAGTCTATGTCGACGACATGATCGTCAAAAGTCGCATGGCGGCAGACCACCAGACCGACTTGGCTGAAACATTCTCCACACTCCGGAAGTATGGCCTGCGGCTAAACCCGGCAAAGTACGCTTTCGGCGTCAGTTCGGGAAGGTTCCTTGGATTCATCGTGCATGAAAGAGGAATCGACGTAAATCCGGAAAAGGTTCAGGCGGTCATCAATATGCAGGCCCCTTAAACAGTCAAGGACCTACAGTGACTAAACGGACGGCTTGCTGCCTTATCCTGATTTCTGTCTCGGTTCGGTGATCGTTGCCTCCCCTTCTTCCGGGCGTTAAAAAACCCCAAGGACTTTCAGTGGACGATGCAGTGTGAAGAGGCTTTTGGACAAGTCAAGCGGCACCTGGTCAACCTTCCCCACCTTGCTTCGGTCATTCTCGGGGAAAAGCTCGGCGTTTACTTGGCCGCCTCCCAGCACGCGGTCAGCTCCGTCCTAACCAAATAAGTTTCCGGGGAACAACTACCGGTCTACTACGTCAGCCACGTCCTGAACGGACCTGAGGAGCGGTATCCGCCACTCGAAAAGCTCGCTTTGGCGCTCATGCTGGCATCCCGGAAACTACGCCCTTACTTCCATGCTCACACGATTGAGGTAATCACTGACCAGCTGCTCCAGCAGGTTTTGTCTAAGTTTGATGTCGCAGGTCGGCTCCTCAAGTGGTCGGTAGAACTCGGAGAGTTTGACATACATTACATTCCAAGGACTGCCATCAAGACCCAGTCCGTAGCCGACTTCATCGCGGAACTGGCCGAAGGCGGGAATGGAAGCCCCGAACAGACAGAGGAGGCGTGGGACTTGCACGTGGATGGCTTGGCTACCTCCAGCAGCGCCGGCGCGGGGTTGGTACTCTCAGCTCCCGACGGACGCTCGTTCGAACACTCCCTCTGCTTCGAGTTCCGGGCCACCAACAATGAAGCCGAATACGAGGCGCTCCTGGCTGGACTCAAGCTGGCCCTTGAAATGCAGGTGGACGTTATCCACGTCTTCACTGACTCGCAGCTCGTCGTCGAACAACTTAGCGGTGGGTACGAAGCTAGGGAACCGACCATGGCAAGGTACCTGGCAGAGGTAAAAAGCCTAGCCTCCAACTTCTCCTGCTTCACGTTATCCAAGGTGCCGAGGAACCAAAATGAACGAGCTGACGAATTGGCGAAGATGGCTTCGGGACTGGACCACGGAAACCGCTCCGGGGTTGAAGATCTCCCATTCCGCACCATCTCAGTTTCGTCTGTAACTCCGGTCGAAGCGCGCACCATGTGGGTACAGGAGATGCTGCTCTTCAAACGCAATGGGATCCTTCCCGACGACGAAGCCGCAGCACGCCGCATTCGCCGAACACAAGCATGGTATTCCAAGGTGAACGGACGGCTCTACAAACGGTCCTTTTCACAGCCCCTGCTGCGATGCCTCGAGCCTGGCGAAGCGAAGGCAATCCTCGCCGAGGTCCACGAGAGGATCTGCGGGGAGCATATTGCTGCTCGAACCTTGGCCTACAAAATCCTTCGTCAAGGATACTACTGGCCCACCATGTCCCAAGACGCTAGAATCTATATGCAGCGGTGCGGGCCTTACCAGAGGCACGCCCGAATGCCCAGGCAACCGGCAGTCCCTCTGTCCCCCATCGACTATGCATGGCCATTCGCTCAGTGGGGATTGGACCTCATCGGCCCTTTTCCACTGGCCTCGGGGCAACGACGATACATCGTCGTGGGCGTGGATTACTTCACCAAATGGACCGAAGCCGAGCCACTAGCGACGATCACGGAACGGCAAGTGGAGAAATTCATTTAGAAAAACATCGTGACTCAATTTGGCTTGCCAGAGGCCATCATCACGGATAATGGATCCCAGTTCACCAGTGCTCGGTTCCAGGAGTTCTGCGCGAGCTACGGGATTCAGCTGAGATTCAGCTCTGTGGCCCATCCCCAGACAAACGGGTTAGCCGAAGTCACTAACCGATCTATTCTAAATGGACTCAAGAGGAGAGTGTCAGCGGCCCAGTCAGCTTGGGTGGACGAGCTCCCCAGTATTCTGTGGTCCTTGCGGACCACCCCCAAGGCCGCGACCGGAGAATCCCCCTACAGCCTCTCATTTGGGACCGAGGCTGTCTTGCCTCCCGAGATGGTTTTCCCCACCCTGAGGACGGCAAGCTATGACGAACGAGATTTGACCCAGGGATTGCGAGCCGATCTCGATCTGCTCGAGGAGCGGCGTGCTAATGCACACCTGAAAGATCTCTCCTATAAAAGGGTCATCGCTAGAATTTATAATCGCAATGTGCGGCCTCGGCCAATTAAGTTGCATGACTTGGTCTTACGCAGGGCTGAGGTTAGCGACCCGACCCGAGCACGTGGGAAGTTAGCTCCCAATTGGGAAGGCCCTTATCGGGTAATCGAAGTCGTTAGGGTCGGAGCATACCGACTTGCGACGATGCAAGGCCACGCTTTGCCAAAGACTTGGAACTCACAAAACCTCAAAAGGTTTTTTCCATAATATGATGAGTTGGGACGTAACAAAAGCGGGAGTTACGTTAACAAAAGCTAGTACAAACACAACGTGTTAGGCAAACCACAAGACAAACGAGCACGATGAGAATGGAAACAGTCATCATTTTCAGGGAGCGCATTACATTTCACGCCCAAACAACAAAAAGGGGGAAAGGAAAAAACATGTACAGACAAGTCTACATTTATTCCTCTGGAGCGTCGGGGCTGTCGTCAAAAGGGACTTCGTCCGGCATGTTGATGCCCATGTCCTCGGGGAAGGAGTCGAAAGGATCCTCCACGACCTCCAGGTCGGGGTGGCGCGCCTTAAAGCGGGCGAGGGCAATCCGGTACCCATACTCGTATGAAACCCGCCCGGTCCGAACAAGGCCAAGCTGAAAGCCCGAGGATGCTTTGTAGTCCTCAATCAATTTCTTGTCCTTCTCCGGCCTCTAGCGAATCTCGATGGATAGGGCCTCGGCAGCCCCCCGTGCTTCAGCATGCGACTCCTCCAGCCGACGGATCAGTTCGATCGACTCCCCCCTTGCCGAACGAGCCTCGGCCACCGACGCCTTCAGATGCATCTAAAGCTCCTTATTCTTCACCTCGGACGCCTTGAGCTCAGACCAGAGGCGCGTCGCCTCTGCGTCCAAATCCAAGGCGCGTTGCTCGGTTGTCGCGACCACCTTAGGAGCCGCCCCGGCTCGGACCTCCTCCACCTGCTTCCGGAGGTCGGCATTGTGGTCACTCAAGAGGTCGATGACTCGCCCCGCGTCGTGAACGCGGTCCATCAGCACCGCGGCATAGTGAGTGCCCTACTGACAAACGGGTCAAAACAAGAGCTATCCAAACACATGCAACCGAACCAGCGGAATGACGCTCACCCATAGCAGCGACTTAGTAGACCTGACAAGAAGAACCTCCGAGGGCAAAGTATACAGATCCCGAGCTATGTCAGGATGAAGCCCTCCGCGGACAAACCCGGCCGCGGAATCCCCGTCGGCCCACACCCGGCTGCCCCGGGAAAGGCCTTCCCAACGGGCCGTCAGCGGGTCAGAGGGCTCGCCCGGAGAAAGATCACCCATCGCACGTGCCTAGTAGGGCTCATCCTCCCCCTGGGCTTGGAGGCGGCAAAGCTCGCGGATGGAGGGCTCTCGAGGGGCCTTCCCCGCCACATCCCTACTTGTGCCGGCTTCGCCCCGCCCGAGGCTTTTCCTGGCGCGTTCGGCCGATATAACGACAGCCCCCGCTGGCTGGGCCGATGACCCCCTAGAGGCTTTTGCCGAGGAGGTCTTCGCCTTCTTCCTAGGGCGACTAGCCTCAACGTCCACTGGGGCCTCCCTTGAGCCAGCCCTCGCCTCGACCGGCGAGCGCGTGGACGGGGCCGTCAAGGTCTTCCCCCCACAAAGATCTCGGAGTACCACCATCTCTGCGCGAAAACACCAACATTGGTCAACTGGCAAATTGATCCCTAAAGTAAACCCTAAAGCTACCCCTTAGGGCATACCTCGAGGCATCCGGCTAAGACCCGCCTCGACCAACCATTGCTCGGACATATTCCGGATGGCTCTTGAGGCTAGGAGGATTTCTTTAAGCCTCCAGAGCTCTCGGCGCTCCCCATCATCCAGACCCGGGGCAGTGTTATCTATCACGCGTGTCGCCCATCGAAGCCCGAACCCCCAGTCCTCCGAGCGGTTGACGAAAAAGAAACGCCCCTTCCATCCCTTATTACTGGAAGGAGCCCCACTCACTCGGAAGCCCGCCCGGGTGGACAGATAGTAGCCCCCCGACCCTTTGGAAAGCCGGAAACAAGAAAGGAAGAGGGATCGGGTTGGGGTGATGTTAGCATAGTAACACTCCCCCAGGAACGCCACCAGATAGCGCCAAGAGTTGGGCGCCATCTGAGACGGGGAGATACGCCACCATGAGATACATGAAGTTATAATGGGGTGCAAGGGGAGGCGTAACCCGGCCTCAAAAGCATCACGGGTAAGGGCGAAACCCCTGGGAATCGGATCGTACGCCCATTGGCCGGGCTTGGGAGCATGGAGGGTGAACTCCTCCGGGATGCCGTAGAGGTCCCGGAGACGAGTGAGCGATGACTCGCTCACAGTGGAGTCGAGGTCGTGCGGCTACATCAGGGCCTCAAGGGCCGGGGCCGCCTTCTCGTCAGAAGACGAGTTGGGGTTCGACACAACCGCCATTTGCTCATCTTTAGCCAGGGAAGAAGGTGACGAGGTAGGGGAAGAAGACACCATCCTTACCGACCTTTTGGAAAAGAAGAAGAGCGATCGGCGCAAACGAAAATGGTGGAGTACGAAGCGGCAAAATAGAAACAAGTAAGGAGACATTCGAGGGGCTAGCCGCACACTATTTATAGACAAAATCCTGCCAAAAATAGCGACCCTTTCTCTTCTCAGGCACGTCGCATCGGGATGACACAAACATCATTCCGTCATAAATACAGCTTGACAGAGCGACCGACAGGCGCGTTACACGTGGCACCAACGAGCTTGAGTCGTCGGTCTTCTCGAAAACTAGCGATTCACGAAAAGGTTCAACCCCTAGACTTCCGAACAGACCGAAGGGTACTCGACCACCAGCACCTCCCGCAACACAGCGTAACAGATCCAATCGAAGTAGCTCCTCGGCAGCAGCCGCTTGTGTCGTGCTCTTCGGCCTCGTGTCGCCCGGAACCACGCCTGCGCGGCCTGTTCGCCCGAGTTCAGCTCCTCGGCAGCAGCCACCTGTGTCATGCTCTTCGGCCTCATGACGCCCGAAACCACGCCTGCGCGGCCTGTTCGCCCGAGTTCAACTCCTCGGCAGCAGCCACCTGTGTCGTGCTCTTCGGCCTCATGATGCCCGCACGGCCCGTTCGCCTGAGTTCAGCTCCTCGGCAGCAGCCGCCTGTGTCGTGCTCTTTGGCCTCATGACGTCCGAAACTGCGCCCACACAACCTACTCACCCGAGGGGGCTACCACCCCTACGGTCGAACCCAATCCGACCTATGAGTCGTTCTTCGAGGTTCCTCGGCCATTAACTACCCAGCGCCGTAACGGCTCACCCGACCTTCCTCGATTGCCAAGCACTACGAGTTTCACGCCTAGGGCGGCGTACCGGCCTTCGGCCGACAAAGAAAGTTCTTTAAAGCTGAAGCCATGCCTCAGACCCCCCCATTACGACAACTGACGCATAGCTTCCTTTGGGGGGGAGTATGATGAGGGTAATAATTACGATAAGACTTGCGTGACACCCGCTGACGCCCCGCACCCCTGTTAGGCTGACACCGTGTGACTGACACGGGTCGTAACGCCAACCGAGGCCCATTAACGACCGCTCAGGTTCGACTCCGCACGCTACGCTAATAGCGATGTCAGACGTCATCAGAAGGTACGATCCTATCCCCTGCGGGTAGGCACATCAGGTAACACCGAACCCCCCTATAAAGACCCTTGCATTCTAAACGGAAAGGGGAGGAGGACACCAACATAGATAACAACCCCCCTACGATTATTCACTGACTTGATCGTCGGAGGGGTCGGGTTGAGCTCTCCCGTCCCGACCTGTGTGCAGGGACGAAGGCGAGGCGCTTCTCTCCAGGCGCGTTGGCAAGGAACCCCCTCTCGAAGGAATCGGCGACCCGTCATCCGGACCCGAACCAAGCCACGTCGGGCCCGAGACCACGACTAAAAAGTTGTTTACACCAACACATGTGTTGTGTTTTCCATTAGAGGTGACGACGTTAGGACAAATATGATTATTTGTTTCATTGTTAAAACTATAGATATTCTAATATAAAATTTTTAAGTACAAAAATTACGATGCTAATATTATCCAAGTATAGAGACTAAAAGTATAGAGAGTAATACGTTATTAGCCCAAAAATATATAACCTTGTTAGTCTTACAAAATCTGAAAAAAAAAAAGATTCTATACCGGAATCCGTAGGACACAGACCTGTACTCTTTCTTGTGATCATCCGTGAAAGTGCTGCTTAGGATCCAACCACAATATTAAATGAGATTTTTAATTATGATGCTTATTACATTGTTGGAAGAAAATTTAACTGTGCTACACGTTTTATAGTTACTAACCTAAGAAATGATGATGTTATAGATTGATCGCCCGCTGTGTTGAGGAGACTGGAAGCAAATTTTTGGATCCAACGTTGATTCCTGTCACGAATCTTAGCATCGGCATATAGTTGACTCCAAGAGATTTGACACAACACTATGTTCAGGAATGTGCGCCTTACATGCATTATTTGACTGACGAGGATTGAAGGGATTGATTGACGAGGTGAGGTGAAATGACAAGGGAAACTCAGGAGAACTAATCTCCTCGTCCATGGTTTCTCGCTACTGAGCTCTGCCTACCGCCAGCTGCTTCAGCACGTCCGGCTTCAAGTGCTTCTTTCTTAATTAGCCACCACCACATGATGATGACGAGAACAATGGTTTCATTTGTTAGATGTATACCCACCGTCTGCCCATTGGCGACTGAGGAAGACGTCAGCACAGCAGCCACGGTTGCCGACTGGTTACGGAGAGGCCTCCAATCCTTGCCCCGCAGTGGCGTTCTGCAGCTCGCCTCGGGAAGGGCACAGCCGAGGTGGCCATACGGCCTTCTCGCTAGCTCTTGGATATTCCCGAGGACGCCATGAAGAATTGTCATTGTCTTCCTGAAAGCTTGCTTACTTGGGCGGTGAGGTAGGGGCTCTCCAAGCCATCGTCGAGAATCCTAGACTTGCGCCGACGACGCTTGACCCCGTTCCTTGTCGCCAGAATTCCGTCCCGAAAACTCATCATCAGATCCAAGCTTTAGTAGAGAACGTTGCTTTCTTGTCGAAGAATAATATAATATACATATAAGTATATTACCCGCTAAAAAGCGACACAATTAGTCGACCTTCCCTCCCCAAGTTAACTAGCCCATGAACTGAGTTATCATAGACTCCCTTAATTACGTTGGAAGTAAACTTGGTTGACCTTTGACCAACCGTAGAAATCACTATGAAGAAGATTTCATAGGTGCCACGGCACCCGCATACGGTCATTTACAAAAAATGATCCATTCAAGGGAAGAAACTGTCGATACGACTTTTTACCCTACAAAAAAAAAAAAAAAAAAAAGCCAACTGCAGCGATACCGGAGTGCCTAGAGTCGACTCATCTTCGGTTACCTGCAGAGGCGGGAACCAGCCATCTTCGGTCCTTGATCTCTGGGTTCCAAGAACGGGCACGTGAAAGAGAACGGTGGCCAGCTTCTCAGATTCTCGGGGGGGGGGGGGGGGGGGGGGGTGGGCTCAAGGAGCAGCACCCACATTTCCAGCAACACTTGGGGCTTTGGGGCATCGAGATCGTCAGCCTTCGATCGTCGGAGATGAGATGACGTCTCGGGATGCATACCTTGTGTAACCGCAGGCAGTGCACTCCAGCTGATTCATTTTAAAATAAGGAGATTAAAGCAACAGAAAAATGGTGCTTTTGGATCTAATTACAGGTCCCCAGCGAAAAATAAATAAATATGTATATGCATTCTTAAATCGATAATGAATACAGAAATCAACTGAAAATTGACCCTAAATTTGTATCTAAAAAGCAAATAATTCAAGAGTGTAAGCTTCATTTTGGATCAAAAAGATTGCCGATCCACTTTTGTTTCATCCAGTCATAAGCAAAAAGGCATAGAGCAAAAGTGAAGGAAAAACCAACGAATAACTAGTATACGGTCACTGACCAGATATCGGTCCCCATGGCCACCAGCGTGTATAATGTCCACAACACCTACTTTTTTCTCGGTGCACCGCGAACATCGAGCATCAGTCATCTGAGAGGCCGAACAAAGTAAAAACAGCTTAAAAGGTGAGACGATCAATTCTTTACGAACTAATGGCCCGAGGATAATTTTTATACATCCAACTGTGCCTAAAACTTCACTTGAACTGGAAATCTTTTGCCACACTAGTTGTCTAATCTTTTAATGTGGATTAATTTCATATCCTAAGTCTCTCTCGAATAATTTTGTATGCCAAAGAAGTAGAAAATTATAAGAAAGTTTTACCTGCAAGTGTTTTGACGCTTCAGGTCTCGTTGGTGCCTTTTTTTCTGCAGTCAAACCATCCTGAAATGCTCAAGCAGCATTCAATAAACAGACATTACATATATGCACAACATTAACGACCAAAAGCAGTATGCATCACATGAAACATTTACAACAAAAATAATTTAGAAACAATTGTTTGGAAAAGACAAAGAAAAACCTTTAGCTCATTGGGAGACATGAACAAGATTTCCGTTGGGTCCAACTCTTTGTTCAGCAAACGTCTAGCCAAAACAGTGCTGTTCTGCAGAATTAGAAGAGCATGTATAAACTATATTTTAAGCACAAAAGTTACGCTTTCTGAAATCATACTAAAAAGAAGGATAGGGAATTGCATAGCAGAAAAAAGCCAATGCCATGCAGGGTGGATAAATTTGTGGATCATTAACATGAAAGCAATACCAGCATAATGATAGGGACAAATCTGTCGTTCATTTTTTGAGTGGCAGGGTGTGGCCCGTTTGAGAAAAAACCACTCTTGTCCTGCCTATCCATACGTGTAAGTCCAAGCTCTGGTAGAACTTTCCAAAAACACTTGATGTTCAAAATAACTACGTCAACTAGACAATACACATCTGACAGATGATATATGCATCTAAAAAATAGCTATTACTATGCTTAACCCAAGTAACTCTATAAGATGAATGTCTTCTCTTTTCTCCTCCAAGCTCCCATGAACAGAAACTGAAGCTCAAATAATTCTGCCTCTTGGCTGATTTTTAGCTGCAAACCTTAAAAAACATTAGTAAGCAAGAGATACCGAGGAAACCAGATTCTGTAACACATCCGGAATTTTCCGAAGATCAATTTAGTGACCGCTCTTTGTAAAGGCTAGTCAGAAAATTCTTGAGAAAAAAAGGTAACGAAATCACACATTTATGGCTGAATCATAATAGCTCAAGTACAAGATATGAATACACGTAGACACATATATGTATATATACAGACTCTACATCGCAAGGAACATAGAAAGAAGGCTTTAAAAATTGGCTAATTCAAATTGGAATTTATCGTAGCATTCCAAGATACTCCACAGTATCTGGTGGATATGATATGCTTCATAGGCTCAAGACTAATTGGCAGGCCAATTGGTATGATGATCCAAGTTTTATTCTTTTCCCTGTGGTGAGATGAGCCCTTGAGTGCCTCTCCAACAATGCAGATGAGGCGAGTAATTCTCATTATTTTTATTTTTATTTTCTAAATTGTACTTTAAATTGTTTCTTTCATCTCATTTGCAACTTAAACCTCAGATATGATTGCTCAAGCCAGTCGATCCCGGTCCAAACTTATCTGACAATGGAATAGCTTCAAGAAAGTAGCAACATAAGTATGGTATTAGACAGTGCCACAAAACATATTTGAAGAGATGTTTCTAAAGCGGGCCAAACGTGATAAAAAGCATAAACAATGTTTATGCTATTATGCATAGCATATCAGCCACATAACTGTTCTTTAGTGTTTGTGTAACACCAAGACTATGGTAAAAATTAAAGCAAAACAAGATGAAAATTTTCTATACCTTGAGATTAAAATCTAATTGTCTCATTTTCTGATTATATTTCTGGAAGTCAGAACAAAGGGCTTCATATGTAACTCTCTCGAGTGCAGTTATAGCCTGGACAGCTGAATCTGGCCAAGAAATGCTTTCTCCAGTCTATAGAACAATAAATGGATATGAGGAAAATTCCAAATCAGAAATTTTGAAATTTTAGGTTCATAGTTTGATAAATTTATGGTGTATAAACAACTCTAAGTTTAAAAAGAAAAAATCATTGATCCAGGCTACATTATAATGATAAAAGAATGCTGTGCTCCAAGCATTAATTACAACAAAATAAATAGAAGATTATAATATCTGCAAGTTACGGACAACCGAAGTCTCTCATGTTAGTGCATGTCATACTACAAATAAGCACCATGTTTGTATCCAATCTTTGCAACCAACACCTAGTTCTGTACCTACGATAAATTCATGAGTTGTTATACAAAACTAGCATAACAGATCCAACTGCTAATTAGAAATTTAAAATTAATTGAACTGTTTTCATAGAGTATGACTGGCAAAATCTAGTAACACTTACGTAGGAGCTATTTTTGTTGGATCCCATAGTAGTTCCTGATCCACCATTACCATTCATGACAGCCAACCCAGAAGTTTTTGAAAAATATGCTACTTTAATTCCTTGTAGAAGTTTATCCAACCACTTGTCACGGTATGAATTACCAGTCAATGCTTTGCATTTTGCTAAAATGGTTTTGCACTCTGAACCGTGACTTGTACAACTTCCTGGTGTTTCTGCTCTTATCCGATTCTCAGTTTTTGTTGCATCATCAGATCTTGAGACATCAATGGGGTCCATGCCCTTTCTTCTGAAAATCCGCCTATTTGCTGACTGATCAGAATGATCAAGTGGAACAGGTGCGGAAGCAGAAGTTTCTTCAAGCTCAACATCTGATAGCTCCCCTAGGCACTCTCGTGTCTTCTGAACAAGGAGATCTATCTCATGTTGTTTAGTGCCCTCATAGTCTTTGGTAGTCAACTTCCAGAGCTTTTTCTCAACAGTGTCATAGACATTTTGCACTATAAAACCTGGAAATTGTTGACGAAGTGGCCACTTCTTGTTCAAAGGAACAAAATGAACGACACATTTGTGCATCACAGATTCCGCTGGCACCTCATCAAGATGGAAACTGTAAAAGAGTTCCCTGTGATCATGTGCTTTCCAATGTCCACCTCCTTTTTTCACTGCCTCTTCAGGACGGTAAAACCACTGGCCGGTGACCCATACGTTGCCATCTACATCTTGTGCAATGTCCTGTTTTTTGTTTTTGAAAGAAAAGAAGCCCACTTCATTAGCTTCACATTACGGGAGGAGGGAGTTCAAAATTAGCGAGTGACACAAAACTGGGAGCTTCAGCTTCCCATATGGAGATAATATCCCCCACCATGGTAAGCAAGCTAACTGCTGAGAAATTTTCCTGTGTGATGTCCTCTTAGTAAGACTGCAAGATAGAAGAAAGAATAAAGATTGCACATGTAACATTCCATGACCTTGACCACGAATTTCTTGGGTTTACTGTGCCACAGAAACACAGATGCAAGCTGATGCTATTAGGGGGAAACAGATGCATACATGTGTAATTATAATATATGGATTTATATACAAAAGAAAAGAATCATATTCAGATAGGTAGCATAATCAATCAGACATCACGATTATAGAAATATTAATTATAAATGACCTCAAGAAACAGTTCAGCAATACGACATTGGCCACAAGCTAGAATATGACAGCAACTACATGCCTCAAAACAAGTAACAAATAGCACAACACTGCCCTAAAATCAAAATTACGTAAATCATATTTCACAAATTAAAACGTATTTTTTTGGTATTCAAGCATCCATTTGACACTCCTTTTCAGGCATCAACATAATTACAATAAAGAACTGTAATATGATGATATTTGCATACTTTATAATGTATCACCATGTGATCCTTATTAACATTTGTTCCATCTTTATAGAATTATATAAGATACAAAAGCTGCAAATTGGGAATGTGATAGGCATATTAGTCTAATTAAGTTACACAACAATAATCTAAGAGTCGTGCTTATAAGAACAAAAATAATCAAGTTATGGCAATCTGTAACCACACAAATTATCATTTCCCAACTGATAGGTTTATCACCTACTATCCAGTACCTTCCTTTTTTTTTAAGGAAAAGGGTATCCTCTAAAGAACGAGAGGAATGAGGTAGGGGATGAAAGAGACAAAGTCAAGAGAAGAAAGAGACGTAAAGTTACAATCATCGTATTCGTAGACATCTAAAGCTAAAGTTCCATGTAATCCAACTACAATTTAAGGAAATAAAATATACCAACATAGTCCCCACTGGGGCTGCTGCACTACATCTACCTGGCCCTTATCAACAGGAGCTAGGAGCTGACCAAAAGGGGCAAGCAGCACACCTAAGGACTGAACTCCCCTTGCCATGGGCACCACAAGTTCACCATCTCCTTTTTGGAAAGGGATTCTTCGAAACCTTAACCTCGCCTTCCATCTCCTTCTAAGTTGATCAGAAGTCCTCCTTGGAGACTTTAGGTGAATTTCATAGCCCAATCTTAACCCAGGCTGAAGCCCATCAGTTGACTAGTCAAACATTGATAAAGACTCATCAAATGAATACAAGCTGACAGGTGATAGAGGAGCTCATGTAGCATCTCAGACCCCTCCACTTGGTTGCCCAAGAAAAATAGGCTTCCCATGATACAAACTATAAGGATGAACATGTGATTGGCTTAACCAGCCATTGATCTTCCTTAGAGGCCATATGATGGCTAGCTTAAGGCCTTGTACGTGTCGATGACGATCTGACAACAGAGGATGAGCACCTCCCGTCATCAAGAAGTTGCATGATAACAATCCGTACACCAGCCCCCACCCCCTCCCCTCCCCACCTTCTTCTTTCTCTCACCTTGATCTCCATGGAGGCGTTCACCATGGTAGTCACTAACATGGTATTCGAAGTCCCTCCTTGGCTGTCTGATTCTGTAGGTTGCGCCTTATGGAGGTAGTTGGATCCCTAACTTGGCCGACCATGGCTCCTCCTTGGCCAGCCGTCTAGCGACTAACAGCCTTTTTGCGATGCTGAAAATGATCTAACGATTGAGGATGAGTGCTTCTATCATCAAAATTTTCACAGTATCACTAAAACGCTTAGCCTATTGTATCAGATACCAAGCAATTTACAAGCAAAAAAATAATGTACCCTTCTAAAAAATTATGCAGCTTGGTGCCCAACCATTTTTTTTTTTTTACTAAGTAATGGGTCTCAAGTTCAAGTCCATATTTGAGCATCTGGGGTATTGTATAATGTGATGGTGCCCGACCAGTTCATTTTCGATGTTTGTACAAGGAAAAAGAAAAAAAGAGGTCAAGAAACTAGCTAACAGGAAGGAAAAGCAAAGCTCCAGAATGTAGCACTTAGAAAAAAGATATTAAAAGTTCCTCATGCATTTACAGCAGTTACAAATTATAACTTTTTGAATGCGTTATCAGTAAAGGAAGATACCAAACTTCTACAGGAAAAAATTATAAATCATACAAAAGCAACGCACACAGATTTTTCATCAGAGCCCTTCATGCAGGAGAGTGCATGAACTAAGTTCTCAATTTCTCATGTGTTGAGTTTGCGTTTCAGCATGTAACTTCACTTGAGTTCTTCATATATTTAGGAAAAAAGAAAATCGATATTTGAATTGTGTAAATCACCTTAATGATGGCGACATACGGCTTCGTCTTGTAATCCTCTGGTGTTAGCAAAACAGGATCCTCCTGCATCAATATCAAATAAAACCTCAAAAATTGCAATTAGGAGCAACTAAACTCTTGGAATACGGGTTTCGAATATCTTACGAGCTCGAAGACGTTTCCGTCGAACTCAAAAGATGAATAGTGCATCTTCTTGCTCCGCCCCTTCCCGGAAACCCTAAATACGTCGCCGATGGGCTTAGCGTCCCCCTGTGGCTCCATCGCCACCTCCTCCGCCACCTCCTCCTCATCCTCCTCCTCCTCCTCCTCCAGCTCTTCGACGCGGGCGTCCTCCTCTCCTCCTCCACGCCCTCCACCCCCACCGTCACCGCCCTTCTTGGACTCGCTAACGATCTCCCCCTCCTCCGCGTCCTCCTCGTCGACTCGAAGCTTCTTCTTCCACTTGTCCTTCCAGTCACCGTCGCCGTTGCGGTCGTTGTCCGCATCGTTTCGGCGCCTCGGATCCTCGTCATCGTCGTCGGAGACATACGCGACCCGGCGCTTCCCCATCCCGATGACCACTACCGCACGGCAACGTGAAATCTGGGCGGGAGTGTGCGACGTATGGAGGGAACTCTTTTATGGAAAAGGAGCCTCTCGTTACGAAAATAACAAAACTGCCATGAGTTTGTTCCATCGTACCCGAATTCTTACTAGACAAGAGATTGCAACTCTCACATGGTAATGGTGGGTCTGAGACGGTCTTATGAGGGTGAAAAAGCGGGCTACTTATCGATGTGTACCTGTAATCGTGGGCTCCGACGGTGCAGAGTCGGTGAAGAGGTTTCACGCAATTGCCACTGCCACAACCACTACTATATCAAAGAAGAAGACTCCAGAAAGGAAATAAGGTCCATATAAGGAAGACAAATGCATACGAATATTGTTATTATTATCATCATCACTAATATTATCTGATGCTTTGATCGTAAATTCCAGAATCATAGAAATGAAGATATAAAAAATGTCACGGATATAAAACAATCGCAATCATTAGAGTTCCAACATCTTCTTCCGTTCGAAAGCAAAGAAGGCGTAAGGGAGAAGGAAACGTATCTCCTTCCGTAGAATATTGCGTTCGAGATCGCGCGCAGTTGTTTTAAACTCGACTTCAAGTAGGAAGGTTCCCGTTCGCAGCCGTTCCGGAACCGCTAATCAGCTCGAGATAAGATTTTTCAACTATCTTATTTTGTGTTGAGTAAAATCTTCTATTCTGTTAAGGAAAATCTTCTTTCTTAATCTGTATAAATAAAAGTCTGTTTTACTATAGTATTGCTATAACTTATTACTATAGCTTTCTCCTCCTCCTATATTGGCTTCTTTTACTACAGTATTGCTATAGCTTTCTCCATTGCTGTAGCTTTCTCCGCAGTCGTCGTCGTCGCCATCGCAGCCGCAGCAACAACGATTTGCTCTTGCTTTACTCACGAAGCATCTCGCTCGTAAACTGTTTGCTTTGCATCGATCCAAGATTTATGTTCTTGACATGAGTATCATCTTACGGGGGCGACATAATAGTAGATAAGATTTTCCTAACTATACGAGGAAATCTCTCTATTTTGTTAAACGAAATCCTTCCTTCCTCCTAATCTAGAGAATATGACATGTTAATGCATTCAAGTTTCTTCAATAAAGCTCTGTTATTCTTTCCAAAGAGCTGAGTCAATCGCAGTCGATCCACCATTGATCGCCTCCGCCTTCTCTTTATTCTCTTGCTCCGTTGCCCTTCTTCACGGCGATCTTCATAGTTCTCACCTCCACTACTTTTTAGATAATGAGGGCAGAAGAGACGGCGAGAACGATGCTTTTCTTGCGCGAAAAGCAGAGAGACAGGCAGGAACAAAATCTTCGAACACATTAATGTATGGATCTCACCTCCAGTTAATCGTCGATAGAGCTACTCGAACTCCGGCGGGGACTCGACCAGATCGTGGGAGTCGGTGGAGATCTCATCCGGGACAGTGGCGAAGTCGGAGCTCAACCAATTCAGGATGAACGACGGAGATAGAAAGAAAGGATGGTGAAGAAAAAGCGATGAGATGGGACTAGAGGGAGCAGGGAGGGGATAAGGGTTTGCGGGAGAACCTTCAGTTGGTGCTTCGAAGGAGGAGATTCCTTGGGTCGTGCCCCATGGCTCCTCAGGCTCGGAGTACAAATCGGATTTCACGAGGGCCTCATCGCTGGCGCTGTGGGAGGCGTGAGAAGAGTAGGAGTGAGTTCAAACTTGTTCGGGAAGCTACTAGTATAGCCCATGCAACTGATTTAAAGGTGTGCTTTAAAATCGAAAATTAAAAGGGCACAATTTTTTTAAAAATACCTTTTTTTCCCTATTAGTACCCCTTTTTTTATTTATTATCATACATCATTTATTATTTTCTAAAAAGATAAATTTATATTTGGTCTTAGAATTATCAATTACCATCGTGGTCACCCTCTATGTCATTATTCTTGCTTGCACATTTTCGTCGATGTCTTTATTTATATGTCTTCATTGTTGTTCTCGCTCGCATACCCTTTCCTTCGTCATCGTCCTTGCTCACATACCCTTTACCCTCGTCACCGTCCTTGTTTGCATGTTCTCTCTTTTATCATTATCCTTGCTCTTATGTTGTCATCCTCATCGATAGGAGTACAATGATTGTGAGGGTTTACGATGATGAGATTGTGAGGGTCATGGTGTGATAGTTGTGTTAATATTTAAAGCGATTGATTACAGTAGATTCGAGAGAAGGACCATGTTGCTTGGACGAGATCAATGATCTACTAACCCTTAGGTGAGCAATTGCTATTACAACAAATAACGATACGGGTAAGAGGCTTGATGCCAACAAGGAGGAGGTGATGTGGAGGTTTCCTAAGATTTTGTAAATGTTAGTGGCAAAGGTTGTAGCAATAGAGATTTACAGGATACTGATATTTAGATCTTCCTCCCTTGATTTTATAGTTGTCGAGGGTGCACGAGCGAGGGCATGCTTAAAATGACAACAATGATGATGTGCAAGAGAGGCGAGACGGAGCAACGGCTAAGGGCAAATTTATCTTTTAGGGAATAAGAGGCTCTTTGCAAGAATAAATAAAAGGAGAGTGCTATTTGAAAAAAAAAATAAAAAAATAAGATATTTTTTTTTGGAAAAAATCCAAATAAAAGGAAGTTTACTATTTAAAATCCCTTTTTTACTATTGATAATCACTTAAAAATAATAATAAAATTTATTTTATGATTTATAACCTTAATATTATCGATTTTATCTTTTTTTTTCCTTTTCTCGCAACCCATATTATTCATCATTGCCATCAATACTTATTGTCACCATTGGTGCTGCTCACTGTTGCCACCGATATTGCTCATCGGTGGTTGAGTCAAAAGTAATAAATTTTCTTAGTATATGTTAGTATTAGAAGTGATCATACATCCATGTCATCGACTCAATTCCATATGATCTATTTACTAAACCTCGACAAGTTTTGAGAATCAAATCTTCGTTGGGTTGAACATGAAAAAAAACGATTGCTTTGAGTCTCTCACATCAAGAGCATTATCTCAAAACAGGTCATTCCAACACTCGAGCAAGTGCAAGATCCAACTTAAGAAAAAAATATTTTATTAAATACGTGAAGAAAAATATTTGAAAATTTTTTCTTCGGCTTATGTGTGTCAAGTATAGTTGACCCAAAATATTGATCACGTCAGTCTATATGATGCAAACGTAGACTATTGATGGGGGTATGCATGAAGGAGGAGGAGGAGGAGGTAATAGTGCCGCTAATTAAAACGAGTGCTATGTCTTTCATTCTTGGGTTACTATTATCTATCATCCCACTGATACACTTGAAACTGAGTTTGAAGTATGTGTGACACCATTCTAAAAGGCATTACGATCGAAACACCTGAATTATATGCTCTATTTGCAGTGAGTTTTAGGTATCAATTTTTGGTGATTTTGACTTATATTGTCAGCTCTATATGAATTGCAAGCTTGGAATCTGCCATTGTGAAAACACATGCATGCTGATGAATGGCGGTCATCGCAACTCTGCTTCCATTGAGCAGCCAAAGCTGACACGCTACGCAAGTCGCCGTGGAGGAGGACGATATGGTCAGCTTGCAGCAGGTGCGCCTCGAGCCGCCTCCAAGATCCTCTGGTTCTCATGCTTCTTGGGGCGCAGACAAGGGTTGCTGAACTATGCAATGACGCGAGCTCATGCAGAGGATCTCGTGCGTCTTGGAACGCAGACAAGGGTTGCTGAACTATGCAATGACGGGAGCTCAATGAATCTGGTGGAAGAGGGTGTGTTCTGGTGGCCATGATTCGAGCACGGACGCTGAAGTGAGACCATCAGTTGAATCTGGCGACCAAAGCAGGCCAAGAAGAGGGTGTGTTCCTCAGACACGAGTACTCACTCTTGTTGTCTTCCTGCGAATATGACTGATGAGATTTGAGACTGGTTTGAACCAATACATCAATTACTTTATTAGAACCATTATCGATGAACAGAAAATTAAATTTATGTTTTACTTGATACTAATTTATTAGATTGTATTATTTGGTTTTATTTCGGAGTATTTTGTATGAACGATGCGAAGAACACCACAGACTGGCAAAAGCTTGCTGCGCCACAGGTTGATAAGATAGGGAAGCCGCTTTCACCTCTCCTCTCAGGACGCGTGTCGGTTTGATTTAGCCGACACGACCGACGCAGCCGGTGGCCTCTGCGACGCGGGCAGCAGACGAATAATAACCGGCGCGGTGGACGCCAGGGAAACCCCAATCCCTGCTTCTGTACGTCTCTTCTCCGTGGTGATCTCCCAACGCTCGCGATCCATCAGAATCAATTTATTCGATCGGAACAATCGAGGTTCTTTCTCGCCGTTTGATGTTTGTGGGGGTGATCCCTCGTTTATTTTTGTGTTTCTTGTTCTTGTTGTCCCAAATTGATTTTTGATGGTTTCTCGAGAAAAGAGAGAGAGAGAGCAAGTTTAGGAATTTAACGAGGATCGAAGGATTTAAAGCATAAAGCAATGTTCTTGCAGGTTGGATTTGGATTAGGATTGGCTTTAGCCCCAAATTGGTTGGCTTCTGTGGATTATTTGGGGGGGGAAAACAGAGATTTTTTATCAGATTTGCTGAATCCAATTTGCCACTATGGTCGATACCGTTGGCGCAAGCACGTCCTTCGTCGGTCACCACCTGCTCTACCAAAGGCCCTCTTGTAAAGATGACAACTTTAAGCGGCGAACAGGCTCCTGCCGGCTGCTCGTCACGGAGTTTATGGGCCAGCGGTTGCCGATTGGCCCTTCCACTTCCGTTGTGACCCCCAGGCAGAGATACAATGGTTTCGTGGATTCGACCGTCAAGTCGATGGCGATGGAGCTGACAAAGGAAAAGAACCCCTCGAAAGAGGACTGGCGGAGGATCGCTCGTGATCTCGGTTACACGAGCGATACAGCAGGCGTGAGTCCTGGTAGATTGTGGCCTCCTGCGAACAAGGCCGACGATCCCATGATTCACAACCCACTGCTCCGTCAAGAAAGAATGGGTTGCGGGTGGTTTGCCGTGATCTTTGAAATGGAAGGGGTGATCGTTGAAGATGACTCCGAGTTGCAAAGGCAGGCCTGGCTGGTGTTATCTCGAGAAGAGGGACGTTCGCCACCGTTGGCCTTCGTTCTGAAGAGAATCGAGGGAATGAAGAATGAGCAAGCAATCTCTGAGGTGCTCTGCTGGTCGCGAGACCCGACGGAGCTCAGACGATTGGCCTCTCGGAAGGAGGAAATATATCGGAGCCTCAAAAATGGTGGATACTATCAGCTTCGATCTGGATCTCAGGAGCTTATGACTACTCTTGCAAACCACAAGATTCCACTTGCTGTGGCATCGACCCAACCGCGGAAGGTCCTCCAAGAGGCAGTCGAGGGTGTTGGCGTCCAGAGCTTCTTGGATGTGATAGTGGCAGCAGAAGATGTGTTCAGAGGAAAACCTGATCCAGAGATGTTTCTGTATGCTGCACAGCTCCTCAATTTCATACCGCAGCGGTGCATCGTGTTCGGGAATTCGAATTCGACGGTGGAGGCAGCACATGATGCCCGAATGAAGTGCGTGGCGGTGGCAAGCAAGCACCCGGTATATGAACTCCGTGCAGCTGACCTCGTGGTGAGGCAGCTGGATGAGCTATCGGTGGTCGACTTGAAGAACCTCGCTGATATTGATTCTCCCGAGTTTGAATCAGGAGAACCAGAGGTGGAAATGGAAGAGGAGGAGGATGACCCATCTCCGTCGTGCTCGGTGGGTGTTGATGATCTGTTCTGGTAAGATGTATTCCGATGCACAGCTTATTGTTTTCCCATCCCTGCAGTCAATATATAATTCATGATTTAAGCAGGAAATTTGGGTTCTTAGCTCTTAGCTTTGTAAAAAGTTGTTATCACATGTAATTCTGCATCCTTCAGACATTGTACAAACTAAAGCAAATAAGGAGGATGAATCAGTTGCTGCGTGGTCTTCATCGGGCTCATCATGTGCTGAAATATATAGCATAACTCGCAATACTAGTTTCTTTCGAAACGATGTATCATTTGTTTCGAGAGCATGTTGGATGCTAAATCTTTAGGTGACTAAAATCGAGAACAGATGTGCACCCTTTGATAGCATAGCTAATGTTGATACCATAGTTGTCGATTCTGTCTATGTTTGACACAACAAGTAGTAGTTGTTGGATGAGGAACCATAGTTGCTGCAAGCAACAAGTATTTGTCCTTTAAATTTGTAGCTAACTGATCAAGGAAGATAGATAGATAGATATATATATATATATATATATATATATATATATATATTCTCTCTCTCATTCCATTAGTGTCATTTCCCCTTCTTCTGCCTGTTCATTGCTTCTAAGTTACAAGTTGCTGTCTTTGGAAGAATCGAATTTTTTTCGCCACAAGGGGTGGTTGTTCTTCTTCCAAACTCGGGTCGATGTCATACTAATATTAATATAGTATTTTTACGTTGTTTTTGAATGATTCATAGAGCGTGTGTGATATTTATTTTTGTGGACACGGCAGAAGGCAGAATCGGATTGACCGAGCACACCTGAATCAATTGATATCACAAGGGTGTAGTGCATTTTGTATTTGCCATCATATCTTCTTTTGCTGCCAGAGGTAGGTTTGACGAAGTGTGGATTGTGTCATTCCTGTGACAAAACGTAGCCAACAAACAGGTGCATTGAACTCGGAAGATTGCTTCTTGAATTGATGGAAATTGCTTATAAAGGTCAAAATACTCCCAAAGAAGAGAGGTGTTTGGTCGTTGAAACGGCCAAACTCGGATAATTTTGGTGCAGAGGCGATGAGTTTTCAGTAGGGTGGAATGGTGGGAGTATCAATAGCACAATGCCTTTCAAACTCGGACCCAAAAACAAGAAAATATCATACACACAGAGATGATAACAAAACACCACTTCACATCAAGCAATTTTATAAAACGATCAGCAATTTGTTTGCCTTTTCGAGTTTTGTTTTCATAACTTGATAAGTAAATATATGGAATCATATGCCCTGGACCTTCCTCCTTACGGCCGGACCTAGAGAATCATAAAGATAATTTGATTAAGGCCAGTCGTCATAAACAGCAACGTATTTTGTGCTCTAGCAACTTGCCAAATCAACATATTTATTCCCATTCCACGGTCGCTGGTGGTTTTGATGTAATATCCTGACAGACCCGGTTCACGCCACGGACATTATTGCAGATCTTGCTAACCACATCGATGAGGAACTTGTGGTCAAAATAGTACCTGAAGAGATTTGCATGCAGGGAGAAGGGAGATTTGCACGCAAGGAGAAGGGGTTAGGAAATTCATAGCACAGTGAAGGTAATTCATGAACCGAAAAAAACATCCATCCAAGTCTAGAATCTAATAATGCGAATGTAAGCATGAAAATAAAAGAGGACGAATATAAGGTAGAAAAATTCAGCCTATGGATTCTTAGCATTATGCACTTTAAATTGCACATTTCTACTAAGAAGTTTATCATCTTGATTGCGGAACTGCAATCACAATAGCTTTCTGAACACCAATACTGAGTGAAGAACCATAATAACTAATCACTTTTTTCCTGCAGATTGTGTTTGAAATAGTTAAGGACATACAGTCAGCAGTTGCTGCACTTTGAATTCTGATGATCATACCATTACCTAATCCAAATAAAGATTTCAGCAAAAGGAAGCTAGAGATTAGAGATATCTTTTCTGTCATGAACATGGAGATAAAACATATTTTCTTTGGATGTCAAATTACAGGTAGGATCTGGACAACGGTTTTAATGTTTTGAAAGAAGTGTCAGTTAGAACGTCTGTGATCTAGAATAGGAAGTACTCCGGCTCTTCTTTAGTCCAAATTCGAGGAAAGGGTTGTTTGCAGGCACTGCATACTGCATCTAGTCAGAGATAAATTTCAGATTTATTTCAGGAGCAGAATTCTACTGCAGAAACAGTTGTACAGAAGATCAAAGAAGTAGTGTGACTTCAATTTTTAATTGGAAAGGAGATTAAGGATACTACGGATGATTAGAAGTTATCGGAATCTCAGGGATTGCCTGTCTAGTTTAAACAACAGTAGTTAAGAAGTTAGTGTGTTGTAGTGTTTCATTTGGTAGTTGTTGTCCAAAAGTTAGTAGTTAAGCAGCTAGCGTGTTGAGTGTTTCGTATGGTAGTGATTGGTTGGAAGTTAGTTGGTACATGGTGTTAGCAGGTTTTGGTAGTTAGTGTGAATCACTATATGGAGGTTGGATGTATATATTTGTACAGTTCTCGTTGTAAGTTTCAGTAGGTAAGTTAAGTTCAAGGGCATATAACTGGAAGCATACAGTTAGCAACAGTGCACTTTTTGGACGAGGTCGCCATTGGGCCAAGCACACTTCAATGGCTAAACTTGATTTATTACCAGTCTATTCCTTTGCGTTACATTGTAATTAAAGGCATCATTTTATATTTGATGAATGAATGCGAAACTAAAAAAGGTTGTAAAACTCTGACAAGGGGAATGTCACTGACCAGTCTGCCGTCATTCCATCTTCACTGGTAATTGCTCTAAGAACAACCACATGAGAATGGGTTCTTTGGTCACCCTGGACACCAACCGATTGCACTGGTAGAAAAACAGCAAAAGCTTGCCAGATGGAATCATAAAGACCAGCCTCTTTGATGGACTGAATGAAAATCTCATCCACCTAATAATAAAAATAATGTCCAAAGTGAAAGCAATGTTGCCAGCACAATGATTAGATAAAGAACTAAAATAAAATAACAAGCAAACCTGACGAAGAATCTCCAATGCATTTCCTTCTGTTACATCTCCTAGTACCCGAACAGCAAGTCCAGGTCCAGGGAATGGGTGCCTCTTCAAAAATGATTCAGGAACATTCAAAATGTTCCCCATTTTTCGTACCTTTTCGAGCAAAAGTGTCAAATTATTAAAAGCAGTGTAGCATAATTGATGATAAATGATAAAAGGCGCTAGAAAAGAATCACATAAAAGTCTACAATGAACATATGATGATGCTCGAAGCTATACCTCATCTTTAAACAAGAGTTTAAGTGGTTCAATGAGCTTTAGCTTCATTTCCTTTGGAAGTCCTCCAACATTATGATGGCTCTTGATTGTATGAGAGTGAGTCATTCCACTTCCAGGAGGTGGACAGGATTCAATAACATCCGGATAGAGAGTTCCCTGGACCAAGAATGTTGGCCTTTTTCCCAACTTTTCCTCTAGTTCTTCAGCAAAGTAATCAAAAATGCATATGAACTCTCGTCCAATAATTTTTCTTTTCATCTCAGGATCTTTTACACCTTTTAGCTTACTAAGAAACTGCTCGGATGCATCTATACAGGTAACTGGTAAATGCAGATCACTTTGAAAGGTTGACATGACTCGCTCTCTTTCCTTATACCTAGAGCATGGAAAGTTCATAATATTCAGTCAGATGACTGTGATAGAATATATATTTTCTATAATGTCTTAATACTAAGAAAGACAGGCAACCTCAATAAGCCATTGTCAACAAATACGCAGTGAAGCCTATCTCCAATTGCCTTGTGAACAAGAGTGGCCGCAACAGTGGAATCAACTCCTCCAGATAGTGCACAAATCACATGCTCATCAGGCCCTACCAAGCCTTTGATGACCTTAATTTCTTCTTCAAGTACATCTTGCATCTTCCAGTCAGCAGTCACCCCGCAAACATCCAAAAGAAAATGTTGCAGTGTCTCCATTCCTTGTGTTGAATGAGTTACCTATTGACGGATTGGAAGAGAAAATCAAGCGATGTAGCTACACACTGCACTACAATCAACTTTGTATGGTACCAAGATTGTACACATGATTCTTGACCAATTGCAGAACGTACACTAAGCATTCAAAAAATCATGAGGAAGACCAAAAATTACACAAAAGAATACTAGAAATAAATAAGCAAACACCATGTTCAACATATATCTGTGTCTTTAAAGATATGTTTGCCTCATGAATCAACACAATTAATCATTTTTGTGTCGACCAGTCCTGGTACAGACTCTAGCTTTCAAAATTAGGATATAGGATAACTTGCAAAAGTTGTCGTGCGTAGTAATATAAGAAAAGAAAGATATTGCTTACATGTAACAGGATGCAGTTTTCTCCTAACAAAATTTAGTATTTTTACTGAAGACACTAAGATTCTTAAGTGAAACATGAAAAGCCATATCAGCTTGATACAGAAACGACGATTCACATGGTCTCTGCTAAAAATTACATCTGAAAAGACATAGGAAGTTGCACCAAACAGCTATAGGAGGGGAGCAACTACAAAGCGAAAAGGTTAATATTTCAGTTATTAGAATTGACAACACGAACAGATTATCGTTTTTCTTGCTGCATTTTATTTGTTTCTGTACTTCAATTCAATCAAAATAACTCTTCAAACCGATGAGAGGAGATGCATCATACTATCCCAAGAGGCCAAAACAGTGAGTTCTTTAAGGAAGGAGACCTTTACTACTAAGAACACATCACACAACTCAGATAACAGAACAAAACATGCAGTAGTATGATTTCCTCATACGTAATTGCACAAAGAGAAATAATTAAAACCATATGCAAATTATAGTTCTTGTGGTGCCTATTGACAGCAACATCTATCAAAATTATGATAACTCGCCTAGAGTTGCCATAAGGAGTCAGATCTTATTAGATGCCAGACCATGCTGAAATGCAGAGGAATCGATATACATCGAAACATGCATAGCTTGACTTACAATACACGTTGCTGAGGTACGAACTCACAAGCAAATCATAATGTTATTCTACTTGTTCCGCAACATGAATTAATTTTTAAGACAAGTATCTGTTAATGATCATAGCAAATTCTTCACAACAAATGCTACTCAGTAACAAGTTCTTCTAAATTTCAAGTATAGTGGAATTGCGTACTATAAGAAGACACAGTTCCTTCTCCTCATTATGCTGAAGTAAAAATAACTCACTGATACCATGAAAAGCCTATGACGATCTACACAAGATATGTACAGACAGAAGGAAACCAGAGAAGGGATTCCAAAATCACCTCGGGATGGTACTGAAGACCGTAAAACCTTCTTGAGCGATTCTCAATTGCCGCCACCGATCCTTGCAGGCTCCTCGCGACCACCGTGAATCCCTCCGGCAACTTCACTGCCTCGTCTCCATGGCTCATCCACACGGTCTGATGCCCACCGATGGCCTCCGGACCATAAAATCCCCACTCGCCCTCGGGCACCGCTATTTCCATCTTCCCGTACTCCTGTTTCTCCCCGACAGCGACCACGCCCCCGAGCTTCTGGACGATCAACTGCATCCCGTAGCATATTCCGAGCACGAACACGCCGTGCTCCTCGGCGTACTCGATGAAGCCGTCCGGGAACGACGGCGCGCCCGCGGCGTGGACGGAGTGGGGACCGCCGGAGAGGATGACGACGCGGGGCTTCAGCTTGGCGATGGCGTCGAGGGTGGAGGTGCCGGAGATACACAGGGAGAGGACGGAGAGCTGCCGGATTCGACGGGTGATGAGGTGCGTGTACTGCGAGCCATAGTCGAGGATGAGGACGAGGTTGCCTACGCCGCCGGTGGCGACCCCGTTGGCGGTCCTCGAGTTGACGGCGGTTTCCATCTCTCCGGCAGCGAAGGTTAGCGTTTACGGTGGGCGGCGAGAAAAGGAGGGCTCGGTTTAGGGTTTTTCAGGACCATTTGGCGGGAACACCCTTGATCATGACGGTAGATTGTATGATACATTGGATCAGAGCCGTTGATCTGATCGACCATAAGGAACCATCAGATGGACGGCTCATGCGCACCTGTCGCCCAACCACGCTCCGGGGATCGTCGCACTACATGGGCTAACCTTTTTATCTGAGTATTTTGTTTTTGTTTTTGTTTTTGTTTTTTTGTTTTTTCCTGTTATGTGAATTGATGAATTATGTTGAAAATTATCAATATTTTAGGGCTGTTTTTTTTAAAAAAAAATTCATATTTTTAGTATTTTCTAATGGTTATGCTGTTTTTATTTAGCTCGTCTATAGTATTTTTCATTGGCATTTTCAGTATTTTTATTGAGGCAATAAAATACTGTTGATGCTATTAAAAAAAATACTATAAGTGATGTTTTATTATCTGCTCATAGACTATTACAATATAATATTTTTAAATTTATAATTTGTTTAATTGAAATTATAAATTTATTTAAATCATTTATGATGTTTTCATTGTGGTAGTCATAACAAACTAATTCTTGATTTTTATTTAGGTAATGTTGTTTATAAAATATTGTAAATACCTATGTGAATCATAATATTATGTATCAAATAATATTTAGTATATTTTGATTCAATGGACTCATTTATAGTTATTTTATTGTAGTAATCAAAATACTACATTAGTCTAAAACACGGTAACAGATGAAAAAGTTTTTGAATGACGATTTGATTATTTTTAAAATTAGATATATTATTTGAAAAAAAATAAAAAGAAAAGGCATCGATTGACTAATACTTCATTTTTTTCTAGGGAAATTGCCCAAGAATTTATGAAAAACTTGAGAAGAATTATTTAGGCAATGATAGAGTATTATTTCTTTCTATTTTTAATTTCTCTCTCCTCTATATTTGAAATTCTTATTTCTACCATCAAGGAAATTATTTTATTAGCGTAAAACCGAAAGTTTTGTGAACTAAAAAGTGGTGTTTGATTGTTGTGAATGCACTACTTGCAAGTCATTGTAGCAAATAATACACGGACACCTCACTCATGTACTGCAAGTATATTTATGATTTATGTAGCAAAATAATCCATTTACAATGATTTCTTCTCTGCTTTCATCTTCTCTCCTATCTTGCAGCTGTTACAACAAGAACCCAGCATTCCCTTAATGCCTCTGTTGCTGGATAACTCCATCAAGAATATAGAATGAATGATTCAGCAACTCGAATGATTAATTTGGCAGATATATACTGGAATTTCATAAATATCTCTCAAGTAGAAGCATCACATTTGTGTTGCCATAAATCAAATTACAAAAGATTGGCAATACAGTCGGGGCCTGACAGGATTTAGACCTCCATCGAGTGAGCCTTTTCACTGGAGACTGGGCAAGCTCCATCCCACAACTCCCTCAGCTCATTTCTTCTCCAAGAAAGGAAAATAACAGGCCCCAGAGTCGATGGTACCTGCAGTAACATCACTTTGTGAGAAAGTAATTTACAATTTCTTTTACTTGATCAAAATTTAGAAAGCTTAAAGTGAGATGCCGTATGATGTTTCATCTTACCAGATAAAGTAGAGCAGGTTGAGGCGACTGAGTTAATATCCCAGCAGACAAGGCACTAACCAACCCAATTGCATATCCAGAGAGTGAACACCATAAGTATTTGTCCCTGCTTGACCGAGATTTTTCTATTGGAGTAGCCATATCTCTAGTCTTCCTATGGTCAAAACAGAGAACCAAAGCTAGAAGCATACCAGGGATAGCCTACAGAATCAGCAAACACACTGTGATTGGTTCATCGGTTTTTACAGATATGGTTCACTAGCACATTTTCGAGGAGCTGTGGAATGGCTCACTGTCTCACAGTGCTCAACAGTATTAAGTAATGCCAATTCAACTGTCATTTCTCATGCAAATGAAAATTAGAGGGTCTCCAGCTAAATATTGTAATGCCATGGGCAAAAATGAAATCCTGAAACCCTATAATTTAAGACACTCATACATGCAGATATTGGTAATAAAATGAAAAACAATATTCAATTTCTTAAGGATAACATGATCCCAAAACAAGGTGCCATCTTATTAAAGCCAAATATGAGTTACCTTATTCAACATGAAGAACTGCAAGATCTAAATAATACAAGGTTAGCAATGTGACAAAATTATTTTATAAGCATACAAATGTTCCACAGATGGTAATGATTATGACATGCACAGTACTTGAACAGCAAAGTGATTGAACATGTTTATCTGTTTTAGACAAAAGAAAACGGTAATTTGCTAGAACCCTTGCAGATTCTAAACTTGGAGTTGATCTCTTTAGGGGATCAGCCTCCGTAGAACTTTATAGGGGTTCCTCTCTCTAAGTTGTTGCTCAAAGGCTGCAGAAAAGATTTATCTATTACTTATCAAAAGAAGATGAATACATGACTATTTATAGAGTTTCTAAAACCTAACTCATAATAGGACTCCTATTCAAGACTCCTAATATGACTCATACTCAAGACTCTTATTCCTTTACAACTTCTAATTCTTCTTTAAGAAATAATCTCCAAACCCTAACCGGCCTCTTCACCTCTTTAATAGGAGTCGACTTAGGTAGATTTTACATAAATACCCCTCTCAATTAGGACTCTCCTAGCTAGAGTCCTAACAGACCCGCCCTCTTCAAATCAGCCTTGTCCTCGAGGCTAACGATCCATGAATTCTGGGAATTTAATCTTCAAGTCGTCATAGTTCTCCCAAGTGGCACCTTCTGCTGGTAAGTTCGCCCATTGTATTAGCACTTCAATAGTGGGTCGTTGTCGTCGAGTCACGATTCATCGATCAATAATGGCACTTGATTGGATCGAGAGTTCTTCTTGGGTAGTTATATTTGGTGGATGGCTTTGGGCTATCTCCAAGCACCTGTTCACCACTTCCGTCTGGCCGTCGGTTTGTGGGTGATACGCCATACTCCTTTTCAATTTAGTGCCCTGCATCTGGAATAACTTTGTCCAAAATCTGCTCGTGAAGATGCAAGTAGAATTTGGCACAAGCACAATGCGTCCCTTAAAGCGTAATTCTTTTGAGTCCCAACTGTAATGAGCCACGGGGCTTGGTGTTTCCTTCAATTTTTTTATGATCTTACTGGTCTCCGAATCTTCCTGCCATTCCATCTTAATATCCTCAAGGAAGTCACTAGTCGGAAGTGAAACGATCAAAAATTCAGCTTGCTCGGGTAGCCGCGAAAGCGCATCTGCAACAACATTCTCTTTTCCCTTTTTGTAATGTTATTTCATAATCAATTCAAGAAGTTTTGTTACCCAGTTTTGCTGCTCAGGGGATGATATCTTTTGCTCCAAAAAGTACTTAAGTCTTCTATGGTCGGTTTTAATTTGAAATCGTCGACCGATCAATAGGGTCTCCACCTCGTTGCTGCGTGCACAATGGCGAGCATCTCCTTATCATATATTGACATATCTTGATGGGAGGGAGATAATGCCTTGTTAGTGTATGCGAGTGGTCGACCATCTTGCATAAGAATGTCTCCAATTCCGACTCCAGATGCGTCGACCTCAATAATGAAGGGTCGGCTGAAATTTAGTAGTGCTAGCATCGGCGTCGTCGTCATGGCTGCCTTAAGTTTGTCGAAGGCAGCGGAGGCTTTGTCCGACCATTGGAAGACATTATTTTTCAGAAAGGAAGTGGTGCACTGATCTTTCCATAGTTTTTCACGAACTTGCGGTAGTAGCCTGTTAAACCCAGAAAGCCATGTAGCAATTTTATGTTCCACGGGGTCAGCCAGTTCTGTATTGCTTCTATTTTGGAGGGGTCCACCATCACACCTTCCTCTGATATGATATGCCCAAGATATTCCATCTTTTGTTGAAGAAAGCAAAAATTCGTAGTGGTCGTTGTGTGTTCAAAAGGCAGTTTTCGGTATGTCTTTTTCGCACACTCGTATTTGATGATACCCGGATCGAAGGTCCAGCTTTGTGAAGATTTGTGCTCCCTTTCATCTAGCAATTCATCTACTGCTGGAATAGGGTATTTATCCTTAATGGTTATGCCATTGAGAGCTCGGTAATCAACACATATTCGTCTTGTTTCGTCCTTGCGTACAAGTAGCACCGGTGAAGAGTAGAGGCTACAACTTGGCCGAATAACTCCTGTTTCAAGCATCTCTTTTACAATCCTTTCTATTTCATCCTTCTGGAGATGTAGATACTGATATGGCCGAGTATTTGCTGGAGGTTTGCCTGAAAGAATCGTTATATAATGATCATGCCAACGGGTAAAGAGGTAGGTTGTGCGGTTCGTCAAATATATCTGAAAATTCAGCAAGCAAAGGGAGTAGGTTTGGATCTTTAAATTCTATTACCTCTCCCTTAGTTTGCTGCTCAAGTTGTACAAAAAAGCCACTGCATGCTTTATGCAAAACCTTCTCAATTTGTTGTGTGCAAATCGTCGTTACGTCGCCCCCACGTTTCCCATGCAGTATCACTTATTTCTCCTTACTGTAAAATTTCATAATTAGTTGCATAAAATTCAAAAAAACATCACCTAATATCGTCAACCATTTAATTCTGAGTATGGCCTCATGATCATCAAGAGGGAGGAGGAAGAAATATGCAATTATCTCTTGGTCCTGCAGCAACAGTTTCACTCGCAGGCGCTTACGATCATACTTCAAAATCCATCCGTCGGCGACCTTAATGTCAAACCTACTGCAATTCTCGATAGGTAAGGCCATCCGGATAGCAACCTTATTATTTATGAAGTTATTAGTACTGCCCGTGTTGATGAGAACAGTGATCGATTGTTGTTTGAGAAGACCTTCAACTTTCATCATTTGCGGGTTTGAGTAGCCGGCTAGTGCATGTACCGTAACTTCGATCGGTTGTGGCTCTTCTTCTGCATCTTCTTCTTCATGTTCAAGGCTCTCTTCTGGATGTTCAATGACCTCTTCTTCTACTGGTTCAATCATAAGAAGTCTCCCTTTACTACAGCGATGCTCGCGGCTCCACGGCTCGTCGCAATGCCAACATAACCCCTTCGCATATCGTTCCCGAAGCTCTTCTCTTGTCAACCTCTTTGGTGCAGGGACTCGGTCGACAATAGGGGGGGCTGAGGGCTTCAGTATTGTTGGTCGAGGAGCGACCCTAGTCCTCCGAGCTTCATGGTTCAATCGCTCCTCTTGATGTCGTGCGAAAGAGATGGCCGCCATAAGCGTGTACGATTGTCACGCTTTAACTTCTCCCCGGATCTCCGACTTCAAGCCCTCAATGAAGGTCCCCAATAGCTGTTTTTGAGACCAATCACGAGTTTGATTAGATAACCTTTCAAACCTGGTTTGGTACTCTTGAATGGTGGAGGTTTGTCGAATCTTTGCTAGTTGTCCGTCAATGTTCTCGTAATCGGTTGGTCCGAAGCGGATCAGCAGTCCTTCTTTGAATTGTCGCCATAAGAGGACTTCATGAGTGTGTTCAAACCAATCAAACCATTGTATGACATCCCCTTCAAGATGTATAGCTGCAATTTTCACCATAGATGCGTCCGTGGTTTTGTGGTACCGAAAATATCGCTCCGCGCGCGAGATCTAACAAATCGAGTCTCCTTCTTCCCATCTAGGGAAGTCCACCCTCATGCGTGGATAGTTGGGGTCGGTCATAGAGCCTCCCCTCCCTTGGAAGTCATCTCTTCAGGCTTGGTACGATTGGCTAAAGCTCTCTCCTTGATGTGATTTCTTCGGGCTTAGTGGTCGGCCCAATCTGAGTTCGACAAAGAGCGTCCGAATCTTAACCTCCATTTGCGCCTCGAAGGCTTCGAATTTAGCATTAATTGCCTCCTCAGATACCATAGTATATGCCTTCAAATATGTGATGTTAAGATCTCTCTTTTGTTGTCGGGTTGAAGGCATGTATAGGTTGAGAGAAGTGATGGTCGAAAGGGTTGGTGGATCGGTGGATGTAGGCTGCGGTTTAGGCTTGTTTTGTGGCTGTTTTGGGTGCAGTTTGAGGGTGTGGTTTGGTGGAGTTTTAGGGCTGTGGATAAAAGTTTTGGATCTGTGGCAGATGGCAGCAAAGGTTTGATAGAAATCAGTGAAAGTTGCTGCAAATATGTGCTGTCTTGTAAGAGCAGAATTATCGTCGAAGAAACAACGATTTCTCGACGAAATTTCCACAAAAAACTTAGAGATTTGAGGAGGGAATCGACAGCAAAATCTTAATTTATATGACAGCAAGGATGTCCAATTTAATCAAGAAAATTTTGGCAATATAACAACAAGGAAATTGGTGCAAGTTGCGATAACAGAATTCTCGTCGAAAAATTTCAGCAGTTTACGACGAAAATTTACAGCAACACAAAATCGTTTTTAGAGATGAATTCCTCAATAGATCAATATTAGATGAAAGCCAAGATGATTTATAAAGTGTATAAGAAATTTCGTTCAAAAATGATTGCAAATAGATCGGTTAAGACAACAATATGAGGCTGAAATTTTTTGCAAATTTTCAAGTATAGCAGATTGGACGTAAAAGATCAGTGGTTTATATTAAAAACTTTTCGTCGAAACGAAAGGGGAATCCACTATTAGGAAGTGTCAAAGCTATCATAAAAATTTCATAGAGATTTGGACAGAAAAAACATAGTAGCAAGATTAAACAAACTGTGCTATGCGGTTGAAATTTTACAGTGCAGATTTTCAAGTATAGCAGTTTAGCCGTAAAAGATCAATGGTTTATATTGAGAATTTTTTGACAAAACCAAAGGGAAATCTGCTGTTAGGAAGTGTCAAAGCTGTCATAAAAATTTCATAGAGATTTGGATAGAAAAAACGCAGTAGTAAGATCAAATAGACTGTGCTATACGGCTGGAATTCTGCAATGTATCTTTCGTCGTAGAGATAAAAACTTTGCGATGAAAAGTTTATGCAACAATTTTGGAACAATTTTTTTTTGGATTTTTGAATAAGGATAACTAAATTGCAACAGTAGTAAGGTAGGAAATCAGAACCTGTTGCAATTCACGGGGAGATCAAAGGATGATCCGTGATGGTGGAGATGACGACGGAATTTAACGACGATCTTTTAAGCAATTGTGGGAATTGCTTTGAGCGACTGTGGAGGGTTGATGGATGGCTGTGGAAGGGCAGCGAGACGCCAAGAATGCTACTTTGATACCAGGTATTAGAACCCTTGCAGATTCTAAACTTGGGATTGATCTCTTTAGGCGATCGGCCTCCTTGGAACTCTATAGGGGTTCCTCCCTCTAAGTTGCTGCTCAAAGGCTGCAGAAAAGATTCATCTATTGCTTATCAAAAGAGGATAAATACATGGCTATTTATAGGGTTTCTAAACCCTAAATCCTAATAGGACTTATACTCAATTAAGACTCATACTCAAGACTCCTAATAGGACTCCTACTCAAGACTCCTATTCCTTTACAACTCCTAATTCTTCTTTAAGAAATAACCTCCAAACTCTAGCCGGCCTCTTCACCTCTTTAATAGGGGTCGGCTTAAGTAGATTTTACATGAATGCCCCTCTAAATTAGGACTCTCCTAGCTAGAGTCCTAACATAATTTTGGTTCTTCATAAGCTATGAAAGTAAGGCATTACAAACTTGAGCTTAAACAAATATGATCTTTTCTTATAGCAAGAGAAAGATTGGCTATCAGCTCATTCTTGGAGTTAAATGAAGAAATTTAAAAACAGAATCTCTCTTATCAATACCCAATAGTTCCTCTTCGTGTATCCTGTGTTCCTACATGGTGGAGCTATGTAAAATTTCTCAAAAGGCAAGTTGTACACAGTAAAGAAAGACCAACAAAGTGATCTTCCCTGTGCCATTTGTCTCATTTAGAATACTGGTAGAGCTACATGTCTTTGTCTTAAAAAAAAGGATTGTGTGGGATCTGAACCAAAGTGGGTGCTACACCATCGAAAAACAGAATCAAGATCAGGCCACATATAGAGTGTGGTGGAAGAAAGGTGGAAGAAAATCTCCATCTCTATGAATATAGAGCAGCAATTTAGTGATCAAGGCCAATTTTTGTGCCCAAACTTTAAAAAATAAAAACACTTAAAAACATGCCCAGAAATTTTAACTGGAAGTCAAAGCAGAAAAGGAGTAGAATGCATAAATACATTTACCATGTGGGACTGAAAGCAACAAGAACCATGCACATAACAGAAACCCACTAGAATTGCACAGTGATCATATAACATCCACCACCACTCTCTAGCTAAGGCACATTAGAAGAAAAGTATGGCTCAAGTTATACACGACAACATAGAAAAGGATCAACAAGGAAATGCATGCTGCATTATAAGGACTCGTATTAGTATGGTATTACAGATCTAGAAAAGAGAAGTCTGTAAATTTGTCATCAGGAATAAAATAACAAGTCAATGTCATCAAAATCCAAGTATAGAGTAGGCAAATGATAATAAATTGAAAATATCAATGAGGATTAGTAATGTCTGTAACAGAGAGAAAATAGATTAGGAAAAAGAATATAGGAGGTAAAGAAAGAAGCTTCAACATCAATTAGTATACCTTCTTTAATCGAAAAGGTACATACAAGCAGGGTCTGCCGTATCGAACCGTACCGCCCGGTACGGGCGGTACATACCGGTCCGACAGGTTGTCGGTACGTGGACCGCCTGTTACCGGTCCGAGTGTACTGTAGCACTGTAACCTGGGTGTACCGCTCGGTATACCGTACCGTACCGATACCGAGCCCAGGTCGAAATACCGGTACGGTACGGTATTGCGAACCTTGCATACAAGAACTATCATAGTATCATACAAGACCACGAGTCTAAACATAAGTCTAAACAAAGACTCAGTTATTTTATATCATTGCCTAACCAACAATAACTGAAGAAAAGAATTGAGTGAAATATTTTTATATCTAGACTATAATAAAATTTAGGGTTAAGGTTTATTTTAGACCATGTGGTTTTGACCATGGACCACTTAAACCCTCATGGTTTACTCGTATCTAAAATAACTCATACATTTTAAACCCCCCCCCCGGGTTAAGTCTGAGTTAACAGACTTTAGAGTCTGCTTATGTGGCATGTTGACTCATAATAAACTATTAATATAATGACATGTGTAATTTAAATTAAAAAAAAAGATCCATTTTAGCCCCTATGCTTTTGGCCATGGACCACTTAATTCCTTATGGTTTTGTTTGTATCTTAAATAACCCATACATTTTTAAAAACATAGCATATAAGCTCCTCCCATCAAGTCTGAGTTAACAGACATTAGAGTCTGCTTACGTAACTTGCTGACTCACAATAAATCATTAATATAATGATATGTGTAATTTAAGTTTTTTTAAAAAATCTATCTTGACGACGAAGAGGAAGTGGCAGAGGCCGTAGTGATGAACAAAGGTGGAGAGGCAGAGGTCGCAAAGGCCGGAGGTAGAGGTGAAGGAGAGCTGGACCTCACGTCGTAGGCGTGACGATTAAAGGTGCAGGAGAGGACGAAGTGGGAGGCAATGGAGACGAAGACGCCCAAGAGGAGTAAGAGGGACCAAGAGACTATTGTATGCCTAGCATCAGACCCGTCGATGCACATCCACCTGAGGTAGGACCGAAAGCTCCTGAGCTTATCATCAGCATGGGAGAGGCCATGTGCATACAACGCCCTGCTAGGTTATAATGGCTTGATGCTGCTGGTGGCGGTCATTTCCATGACAATGCCTCCTCCCGCCATTGATGATAGTCTCAATTTTTTTAATTTAAATTACACGTGTTATCATATTAATGGTTTATTGTGAGTCAGCATGCCACGCAAGCAGACTCCAACGTCTATTAACTCAGACTTGATAGAAGGGGCTTATATGCTATGTTTTTGAAAATATAAAGGTTATTTTAAACACGAGTAAAACCATAAGAGCTTAAGTGATTCATGACCAAAATCACAAGGGCTAAAATGAATTTTTTTTCAAAAACTTAAATTACACATGTCATCATATTAATAGTTTATTATGAGTCAACATGCCACGTAAGCAGACTCTAATGTTTATTAACATAGACTTGACGAGGGGAGCTTATATGCTATTTTTTTGAAAATATAAGGATTATTTTAGACATGAGTAAATCACAAGGACTTAAGTGATCCATGGTCAAAATCAGAAGGATTAAAATGGACCTCAACCCTAAAATTTATAACAAAGACTTTTTCTAATCCAACCAAATGCCTATTCTAATGCAGTAATTAGCTAATCTTGTGCACCCTAAGTAGGACTGGTGGTTCAACTATAAATGGACTCTAAATTGAATATAAATCCAAACCAAAACTAGGCGTAAATCAAGATGAGATTGACTCTAGAATGTCTTAAGCTGAATTTGTAACAACTAATAGAAACCAACTTAAAAGAAAACTAAATATGGAATATAAAATGAGAACACGACTAACACCAAGTCCTAGACCTTCAACTAAACCAATTAGGTGCCTTATGATACCTTTTGCACTTAAGTCTTTTCATATCAAGTCCTTTAGTTCAAGTATTTGATTCTCAATCCACAGTCATCGGTACCATTTTCTTAAAAGAAGATATCAATGTGTCATAGTTCTCATCCCAGGGAAGTTGAGCCATAATTTTAACTTCCAATTATTACAAGACTGAAGATGGTCCAGTCCGTTATCTCGAGTATTCTGCTACTTCATCTACCAATCCCCAAACGCTAAACATTGCTGTCCAGTGCAGCAGCTCTCCAATACCTGATTTTGAAGCCAAACAACTCTAATGGAAGATTAAATCTATTCTAATATGACATTAGATCGCCTCAACATTCAGCATTATCAAACTCTTTCTAGTTTCAAATTCATAAGAACAGTGCCAAAGATCATCACATTTGGCATACATTATGAAAAGTGAGAAGATCATGACCACAAAAATGTTTACCACGTCTAGAATATCATTTCAAAAATAGAAAGATAATAAAGTGACTACTTGGCTACCATTACTGAAAATATTTGAATTACTCAGGGCACTCTAAACACTTATCATTCATAACAAAATAAGCTAACTTATAAATGTCATAACAATGTCAAGTGCAAAATGTAACATACCATGTCGCCTAGTCCGAGCATCATGTACTCTCCATGACCGCTCCCAGTAATTACCTGCCCACCGATCAAATTTCTTGGGAACACAAGCTTAACAGGAAGCTCCAGCTTCTTTGTGATTAGATGTAATCCTGGAAGGCTCAAGCTAGTTGCCACTTTGTGAACAGGGTTAGATGCCTTTTGTGTTGCAACTGAGACCATAACATTTGCTCCAAAAAACCTCTCCGAGAAGAAGACCCAGAAAATATCATACAAAAACAAGCAAACAAGAAGCAGTGCACATATCTTGATATTAGGTAGTCGCACATGGCTGACAAAAGCTATACATATGCAAATCCCCAGGATATTGTTCAGAATCCAATTTCCAGTAACTAGCCAAGCTGCCACAGTTCCTGTACAAAGCAGCAATAAAATTCCTTGGCTGCGTGTGAGCGGCTTGGGACAGCACCTAGAAACAAGAGGGTCCATTAAACCAAACTGCGATCTGATGTAGGCCATGTACGGGGAGAGACAGAAATAGAGAGCAGATGCCGAAGCAACAGCCGTGAAGGCAGTTATAAACTGGGATACTGATGAAAAGAGATAGAACATCAATAAGAGGCTACAAGAGCTAGCAAGGGGGATCATAAGTGCTTGAGATCGGTCTAATGTGATCGACGACTCTGAAAAATCCAGGTTCCTTGCCATTTCCTTGCCATGATCCAGAGCTCTGGAGGCTGATGCAAAAGTCACAAAGATCGCAGTTGCAATGAGAGTGAGGGACGCCGGTTCAAGTAAGTAAGCAAGCTTCCACAGGGACTCCATTTTAGTAATAGTAACACAAGATCCCGTCTTTATCTGCTGTCACACTATAGACACATCAATGGGACTTCCATGAATCAGTAATCAGAAGTACAGATCTTTGTCTCATGTTTTTCAATATGAATACTCCAAAATTTCTTGGTGGATACAGCTGAATGTCCTGGATAGATCAAAAGGTTATCGCTCCTAAGTTACATACATCGTCACATCAAATTGAAAAGTTTACATATTCGACCTTTAAATTACGTGAGAATCGAAGAAGCGACGAAGATTAAGACGGTATTAAACTAATGTTCAAGACGAAGTCCGAGATGAGAAATCATATCCAAAGAATAGAAGAAACAAGACACAGAGCGCATGTTTTAGATGGACAAGAAGAGGGATCCACGGATATTTACCTGTGCAAGAAGAAATCCGTTGCCTCTGCCACGAGGAGAAGACGAACCAAGAGGTGTCGCGGAGAAGAGGGCCAGAGATCAGATTTTGGATTAGGGTTTGTGAATATGAGGGAATTTTAGGGCATCGAGTGAGTTTTCGAGAGAACCTGATCAGGACTTCCGATCGATCAGGTTTTGAAGGCTTTCCGCCACGGAAGAGGACTCGCGAGGCGGAGACTCCCGAAACTGTTCCCACGACCAAGCACCGCAATGGGGTTGACTTGGGTTCCGAGGCGATGAGCTGCCCATATCACCACCCACCGCAGACTCTTTAATCCGCCGTTTCCTTTTATATAAAATATAAAATTAAAATGATCTATTAAAAAATATTGAATGATTTTTTAGAAAATATTCTTATCTTAGATATTTTCCTTATCGGTACCTCCTATTTTATTTTTTTACAAATAATATTTTTAATTAAAAAATACTCGTCCCTCAATTTTTTATTTATTATAGTATTTTGATCACGATAATCAAAATACTGTAAAACCTATTTAAAATATTATAAATGAGTAATGATAATATTATCATTATAAAAATATAATATTATAATTTTACTAACTATATCATCTATAATATTATAATTTTCAACTAACTATAAGTATAAAAATATTCCAACCTCAATTCAACTAACTATAAGTATAAAAATATAATATTATAATTTTCTACATAATATCATCTATAATATTTTAATAACATCTATAATATTTTCAATACATCAATAATATTTTAATAACATCTATAATATTTTCATAACATCTATAAAAATTCAACTAACTATAAGTATAAAAATATAATATTATCAGAATTCCTATGATGTTGCAAATGGTTCTATCCGTAATGGGTCTATGATGTCCTAATAGATAGGTAGATACATTTTCGTCTTCATCTACATGTAAATTATTATAAAATAGCATAACAAATCTAAGGTAGATAGGTTCACTCATTTGAAGGATTGGGAGAATGTCTAGATTAGTAAACCATTGAATATGTTCTAAATCACTTAATTCATCTAAATCAATATATTGATCCTTTAAATATGTCTAAGTTCTATGGAAGAAAATTTTAGGGCATGTTGATTAGAATCGAAAAGTGGGGAGTCGTAATTTTCATCTAATCTCCTCTTCCCTTTATCCCTGGAGGATCTTCTAGAACCCATTGAGACTACAATAATAAAGACAAATAAGGAGCAAGAATAAGTAATACAAAGGGGAAACAATTTGGTGTAGAGATTACCTTAGTAGTTCTCCTTTTCTAGTGATCTTTAAAAGAATGTTGGAGATTGATCCTTGATCTAGTGGGAAGTGGGGATTTTTGAGTTACTAGAGGGAGAGCAATATGTTTGGAGCTGTTTGGAGGAGTGTAAAATGTGTTGGGGTCGGTTCTACCGTCGGTCCTAACTTGTGTTTATAAGGGGGCAAGTTGCAAGCGGTGGCACCGTTGGCTGGGCGGTGCTACCGCCTACAACATGTGACAACTGGCGGTGCTACCACTAGCTGGGCGGTGCCACTGCCTACAAGTAGTGAGCACCGCTCATAAAGCACACACACTCACACATATCATTATGTAAAATTTGCATCATAAGAGGAGAAGATCCATATCAAAACATCATATAAAACTCATAAAATATATACCTGATTCATCATACAAAACTCGTAAAATGCATACTATAAGTTCATGAATCAAGTGAGCGAACTTTGTAAAATAAAAATCGAGAAAGTCCAAAAATAAAATTCAATAATATTCATGCATTTGGACAATTTGACATCCCTAATTCTCTTCTAATGAAATCAAATTGTTCTTCATTTAATGGTTTTGTAAAGATATCGGCTAATTGATGTTTCGTATTAATAAACTCTAATATTACATCATGATTATTAACAAGATCTTGTATGAAGTGATGCCTAATGTTAACGTGTTTAGTTCTAGAGTGTTGAATAGGATTTTTTGCTAAGCATATTACACTAGTGTTATCACACTTTATAGGTACGTTTTTCAGGTCAATTCCATAATCCTTTAAAGTATTTTTCATCCATATAACTTGAGCACAACATGCACCAATTGCTATGTACTCCGCTTCGATTGTAGATAATGCAACCGAGTTTTGTTTCTTGGAAGATCAAGAAACGAGTGCGTGTCCTAACAATTGACACGTTCCTGATGTGCTTTTTCTATCTAAACTATAGCAAAATCTACATCAGCATAACCGAGCAATTCAAAATTCTTAGATTTAGGATACCATAATCTTAATTTAAATGAGATTTAGTATACTTAGTTTAGGAGTTCATTTTAGGTATCTATATATTCTTTTAACAACTTTTAAATGAGATTGCTTAGGGTTAGATTGAAATCTAGCATAAAGTCCTACGCTTAACATGATGTTCGGTCTAGTTATGGTGAGGTAAAGCAAATTACCTATCATACCCTTATAAGCTTTTTGATCAAAGCTTTCTCTACATCAATGTATAACTTAGTGGAGATACTCATAGGAGTGTTGATAGCATTTGAACTATCTATATTAAATCTTTTTAGCAAGTCTAAAGTATATTTTATTTGATTAAGAAAAATACCATTGATAAACTATTTAATTTGTAAGCTTAAAAAGAAGGTTAGTTCCCCCATTAGGCTCATTTCAAATTCTAGACTCATACTTTTGGCAAATGATTCACATAAGGATTCATTTGTAGAATAAAAAATAATGTCATCAATATAAATTTAAATAATAAAAAAATTATTTTTAAAATTTTTAATAAATAATATAGTATCGACCTTGCATTTAGAGAAATTATTATAAATTAGAAATGAGCTAAGTCTTTTATACTAAGCCCTTGGGGCTTGTTTCAATTCATAGAGAGCTTTAGTCAATTTAAACACATGATTAGGAAAATTATCATTCTTAAATCCGGGAGGTTGTTCAACATAAACTTCTTCGGAGATAAGGCCATTAAGAAAAGCATTAACATCCATTTGAAATAACTTAAAATTATTACTACTATCATAGGCAAGGAGCATCTTTATGACTTCTAATTATGCCATAGGAGTGAAAGTTTCTTTATAATCAATACATTTTTCTTGGTTGAAACCCTTAGCCACTAATCTAGCCTTGTTTTTAACCACGATACCAAATTCATCTTGCTTGTTTCTAAAGACCCATTTAGTACTAATAACTAAATGATCATTTGGCCTTGGAACAAGCTTCCACACTTTATTTCTCTCAAATTGATTCAATTCTTCTTGCATTACGATAACCCATGAATCACCTTTCATGGCTTTATCAATGTATTTAGATTCAATCTGGGAGAGAAAAATAGCATTGACATAAAAATTCTTAAGAGAAGAATGAGTTTGAACCCATTTCGATGTGTCTCATATAATTAGCTCCTTAGGATGAGCATCTACATACTTCCATTCCTTCAGTAAAAAAGGTTCGAAAGAAGATGCCTCCAAGTTGCTAGATGCAGAAAAGGATTCATTTAAATTTAAAGTATCAAATTTAAGATCATCATCAAAATCATTTTTTAACTTTAAAAATTTTATTAAAAATAATATAAATAGATTCTTCTATAACTAAAGTTCTTTTATTGAAGATTCGAAAAGCCTTTGAAATAGAAGAATAACTAAGAAAAATTCCTTCATTGGATTTTGCATCAAACTTTCATAAGGTATCTTTTTCATTCAAAATAAAATATTTATACCCGAAAACTTTAAAGTATGAAACGTTGGGCTTTTTGTTGTTTCACAACTCATAAGGAGTTTTGGAAAGTAATGGTCTTACTAGAACTCTATTCATAACATAGCATGTCGTATTTACGGCTTCGGCCTAAAAATATTTGGGTAGGCTATGTTCATTTAACATGGTTTTAGCCATTTCTTATAAGTTTTTATTCTTTCTTTCTACTACTCCATTTTGTTGAGGATTTCTTGGAGTAGAGAAGTTATGGTTGTATCCATTAGATTTACAAAATTCTTGGAAATCATAGTTTTGATTCACCATCGTGATCACCTTGAGTTAACAAAATCATAAAACCTTTTTCATTTTGAATAAGTTTACAAACTTAGAGAAATACCTAAAGTAATCATTTTTGTATACTAAGAAGTAAGTCCAAGTATATCTACTATAATCGTTAACAATAACAAAGGCATATTTGCTACCTCCTAGGCTTGATATAGCAATTGGTCCAAGCAAGTCCATATGGATCAATTGCAATGATCTAGAGGTGCTTATTTGATTCTTTAGTTTGAAACTACCTTTTATTTGTTTCCTAGTTGACATGCATCATATATATTGTCTTTAACGAATTTAATGTGAGGAATTCCTCCCACAAGTTCTTTAGATGAGATTTGAGAGATTAGTTTCATGCTAGCATGACCCAATCACCTATGCCAAAGCCAAGCATCGTCATTCAAAACCGAAAAACATATTTCATTGCAAAGATTATTAATGTCAATAGTGTATATGTTATTTTGTTTTAGTGCAATCAAAGATGTGTTTTTGTATAGTTTTTCAATAATGTAAGCATTAGATTCAAATTTAACAATATATCCTTTATCACATAATTGACTAATGCTTAAGAGGTTATGCTTTAAGTCATCAACCAATAACACATCTTCAATAAAGAAGTTGGATTTATTACTTATAGTTCCTTTGCTAATGATTTTACCCTTGTTGTTATCTCCGAAGGTGACATATCCTTCGTCTATGCTAGTGAGCTTAGAGAATTAAGATGGATCTCCTGTCATATACCTTGAGCATTCACTATCAAGGTACCATTTCTTGCTCATAGCTTGTGATGGTACATTTTTCTATAAAATAGGATAATTTTTAGGTATATATTTGATCTTGAGTACCTCAAAAATCGATCTACATAGCTTATTATGTTGCATTGAGTTATTTGAGGTTCTTTTAGGAACCCAAATCAATTTATGTAGATATTTCTTGAATGGACAATGATAAGCTACATGCCCAAATTTAAAACAAAAGTTGTATTTATTTCAGGATGAAACATGCAAAATAGAGCCTCTAACAAAGGTGGTTGATTTTGGTGAGAGCTACTTACAAATCCGATTCTGTCTTTTTTATGAACGTGACCCTTGTTGGCAAGGATCATATTCAAGGACTTGCTACCAACCTCAAATTTTTCTAGGGTTTCCTTGAGTAGCAAGTTTTCCTTTCTAAGTATTTCTAATTCGTCACATTTCGTACATAGAGCTAAACTATCATTGTGCTCAACTTTTAATCTATTATAATCAC